TTTTTTGGGGACGCAATAGGTTTATTCAACAAATTTTTGCGGTTCAAAAAAGAGCAGTACGTCTGCTAAAGGGACTAAATTTCAATGAAACTTGCAGGGGGGTGTTTAAAACTAAAAAATCATGACTATGTATGCCATCTATGTATATGAGTGTCATATTTTTTTTCAAAAATAAAAATTTATTTGAGCTTGAGGTGCAAACTGTTTATGATACTCGAACAGTCAATGTTACTTATCCGATACACAGATTCTCCTCCACAGAAAAAAGCCCTATTTACATGTGTTTAAAATGTTTTAACAATCTACCAAATGAAATTAAAAACATAAACAGTTTACATAAATTTAAAAAGACTATTAAGCAATTTCTAGTACAGTCAGAGCCTTAAACAATAGATGAGTTCTATGGGAGATGTAATAGTTTAAGATTGTAGCTGTTTTAAGATAAATAACCATGTAACACAAAAAAGTTCACAGGTAAAACTACTATAGTTATGGTGATAGTGACGCAACATTTCATTTTGTAGTGGCTATACAATTTTTGTAATGGCATTGTACAATGTGGAATATAGATTATTATTATTATTATTATTATTATTATTATTATTATTATTATTATTATTATTATACGTCTAGGCATCGACAAAATAAGATGATCGATGTCTGGTTGTGGTACCTCATTCCAAGCAACTCGAACTTCGTGGATTAGCTGTGGAAGAGTATGTGGCGTATAGCAAAACATTAACGCCTGCTTCTTGAAGAAAGTCCGTAGTACGACGAGCAATATGGGGACGTACGTTGTCTTGCTGAAAACAGACGTCTGGACGGTCGTCTAGATACGGCAGTAAAGTAGTTTGTAGGACATCACCAACAAAACGCACAGCAGTCATATTACCTTGAACAAAGAGAATGGGTGATCGGCTATCATAGGCAATAGTCCCCCAAACCATTACTCCAACAGTCCTGTGTACATGCCTCTCAACAGCAAATCCAATATCACGCCGTTGTCCACGGCGGCGTCTTACCCTTCCACGACCATCGTGCATACCTAGACAGAATCGCGATTGGTCACTGGGGATGACATTTGCCATTCTGCCTCCCACTGTTGCAGTTCTCTGTTCCAGTTCAAACGTTGACGATAGTGATCCGCAGTCACAGGAAGCACTAACCGTGGACGGTATGAAAAAAGTCCAAAGGCTCGAATACGGCGATAGAGTGTACGCATAGGAACAGGTGTACCTTCTTCTACAAACCATTGGTCAGCGATCTGACGCGTACTGGCAAAACGGTCTCGTAGGACTAGTTATCTGAACCAGTTGGCATTCCTCGTCTTCCTCTACTTTCTTCTATCCACACACGACACACACGTATCACCGTCATTGCAGTACAGTTAACACGGCGGCCAGTTTCGCGATAGGACAAACCAACATTTCGATATGCAATAATTCTACCTCTGTCAAAGTCGGTAACATGGTGATAATTTGGACGTCTTCGAGCTCGAGGCATTTGGTTATGCTTAGTACTAGTAAATGAAAGGACAATAACTAAAAATAGTTTTACTACTCAGCTATCAGAAGCACCTTTCTTCACAAAAAGTAAAAGATGACATTTTAACAAAGGTAAACAAAAAAAGATTGACATTGTTGCCACAGCATGCTTGTAATTTAGTCATTATGTTGCCAAAAAACAAGTTGAAGAAATTATTTTTTCTGGGTGTAACCCTTCTCTCACTGAGTATATATAATTTGGTGAAATTAACATCAAGGTATTTGTTTAATAAAGCGAAGTTAATTTTATCATACTATAGAGGAAAGGAACCAAATTTGAGATAATTTTTTTGAAAAGGAAAAATAAAGTACTTGTTGATTTAAACGAGCCTATATTTTTAAATAAACTTGCGATTTGATGCTCCTAGCATACTCTAAAATAAAAAATAATATCAAATGTATTTTTTTACAGACAAAATGTATATTTTAAAAAAGTAAATATTTTTGTGAATTTATTTCCCTAATTTGAGATACTATTCAAAAAATCCCTTTCTTTTGCAGAAAGTGCAAATAAAATTTTATTGGTAATCTCCTCACAATCTTTATGTGCCCATCTACTACAGTGGCTGTATTTTGCCCATTTTCACCCTTCTTATCTTCGGAAAATCGACCCCTACAAAATAAACATTCAGCATCGCTTTCATGTTGCTTTCGTCTGAAGATGAATCATCCAACTTAAGGCTTCCGCTGGATTCTGAACTTGAACTGGAGGGGAAAGGTATCTATCCGAATTCTTTTGAGGCTTTTAAATAATCCATCTCCTGACTATTGTGTTTCCAGGCATCTGAATCTTGATACAGGGCCCTAATTTGAGATAGTCTCAAATTAGGAAAACTTGGGTATCTCAAATTAGGAAATTTCCGTTAAAAAGTTTACACAAGCATATTTAGGTTATATACCTAATAAAATAACAATATTGTAAAAGAAAATAAATAAGGTATTTGTAATATCAGACAATTGTTCTAAATAACTTACCTTAATTTTAGTAATCATTTTTCTCGCACTATTAAAAATATTTTTAACTCTCAAGAAGTAACAAGTTGTGATGTCACGCAAAACTGTAAACACATGTAGGATACTAACGCGTATTAGTTCACAAATTTTTGGTATTACTAGAAGATGGTACTACAAAGATACAAAGTTACACCATACTGTCTCAAATTAGGTGTTTGTCTCAAATTTGGTTCGTTTCCTCTATCCTAGAACCGATGACATCGACTAATCCCGTTGAGGTTTTTGCCAAATTGAATTGCAAGAATAATTTCACCAGACCATATCAGTCAATCAACCCGACGGATCTGCCACTCTTGTTCGAGGTATTTGCCTGATAAACTGCAAAGTTCGTTTGACCAGACTATATCCTCCGGGGTGTACCTGAACTGTTACGAGGAAAAAGTAGCAGAACAGCTGTCCCAGGCTCCCGATATAAGAAAGCCCTACATAAATGTGTGAAGTTTAATGCTTCCAAAGCACAGTACTGTACCTTGACAAACAAAAAGGGTCCTAGCGCTCATCCGATTTCAATGGATGGCCGAGTTCTGCCAGGGAACCATTCATTTCGGCTGGTCGGAGTCCAGATGACCGAGAACTTGATCTGGCACGAACACATCTCGTCAATAGCGGCAGCTGCTGGGAAAAAGCTAGGCGTCCGACTGATCGATGATTCTTGTTTAAACATACTGTTTCGAGACTCTTTCACACCGGCGGGCCGTTGGCGATCCAGCTCTCTTCTATCGCTACACCAACGAGCTTTGCTCCTCAGAGATCTCCTCCATGAATGATGCCGCCGCGCGATGTGATTGCCACACAGACCCATCTGACTTCGACCTTCCATCCCAACCGTGTCGAACTTCGTATATCCATAAGTGGCCCATACGGCCACTCCTTTGTCCCGAGAATGTCGAGATTGTGGAACAATCTACGACGCGTTTCCCAGTTCTACTAACCTTAGGCAGTTCAAAAATCGGATTAACAAAATTTATTTGTGTTCCTCATAGTAGCCGCGATGTCCTGGCATTTAGGCTGTTTCAGTGTAAAAAATAATGAAATGAAACAATAGCTATTATTTCATTGTACATTTTATTTAACATGTATAACATAATTCACAAAATTAAAGCACTAATAGATAATTCCTACAAATTTTGATAATACATGCCAAAATCTGTATTAATTAGAATTCTACAATAGAAATGAGTGATGTAAGATAAAAATTTAGAAATCATACAGTCAGAAGCGGAAAATAAAAAATACTCGAAGAATCAGCACCAGGTTACAAAGATTAAAAATATAAGAGAAAACAATGTAATTATTACAAAATGAAATAACACGCTTAATAGGCATAACAAAACCAAGAAATATAAACGGTCAGTTACTCATTGTTTTTAAACAACCATGAGAAAGCAGTAAACATTAACATTTGATATGAGATGTATATAGTCTATATTTTACTTAAAATGCACCTTTTGTTACTCAGGTGAAGGTTGACAATAGATAGATGTATTATTGGAATAGTTTTCGAATATAAATACATAGATATAAAAATCGTCACGTAAAATTACGTGAATAAGTTATTACAGTTTCATAAATATAAAAAGTGAGAAACCTACCCCTAAGACTTGAATAACATATGTAAATTCAACAGTTTATTAGTTTCCAAAAGTTACATAAAGGTACTAACGCTAAAATGACTGAAAACATATCAAATCAGTTTGATGATTTATCTGTTACATCTTATTTTTATCTCAGGAATAGACATATGCTAGTGCTAGCATTTGTTTTATATTTCAATATTTATAAATTCATCGTCTGAAGTCGTTTTATATTGAAATGTAAATTCAAAATATACAATTTGTTTAACGAATATAAATAGCTATTAAAACAACCCCTACTACAACATACTACTGCATCAATTTTCTGTTCCCCAAATTACTATTTTTATTGGGATAATGGACAATTTTCAAAAGAATGACGGGGTATTATTAATTTCGTCTAAAAAGTATTTGCACTTCAAGTGGACAGTGTCAAAATAATATCCTCGAAAATTCAAAGGGACGCGCCAAAGTTGTGAATAAAATAATAGTTCGGCATAATATGCTTTTTACAATATGTCATTAGAGTATGGCTGTACATCTGACAGATGTATTTGTGGAGTGTGTACTGACTAACTCCTTCCGCGGAAGACAGGGGAGATTTGATTGAGAAAAATATGGATAAACCATACCAGTCTGGAAAAATAGATGCAAATAATATATTTGACTAATCTATTGAAAATACAATTTCGCTGAAGTGGAAAAGACTCCATCAACATATGGGAATGTCTTCAGTCGAGTTTATTTAGAAAATGATGATTACTTGATCTCATTTCTATTATCTATTCATAAAACAAATTGTAATATTCCAACTGCAATTTTGAACTATGTGTACATATGTCAGTACTATTTTTATACTGCGATTCACTTAACTGATGACACCTTTTAAATAATCTAAAAAAGCAACTTCAGATTGATAATTATCGTCAATCTCATATGTCACTTTCTAAAATAATATTAGAAATATTTTACTTGAAATGTTTATATCCAGTTGATCTTTTGACTACTGAAAAGATAATACAGCTTACCTAAATTCACCAGGAAAACATGTAAATATTTTATCAAAAATTCAACATCATTAAAACGCAGTCCTCAAAAAAGGCACTAAAACATTGCTCCAATTTTGGACTGAATTTATTCTAAATGCATTCTAGGAATGATTTTGAAGGGTATAGTTGAAAAGATAAAGATAACTTGGAAAAATATTCAGCCCTTTTTCGCAAATTAGCGAAGTGATTATGGAAACAATTCCACATTGAGTGATGAGAAAACTTAACATTTTGCAAGTTTCTTAGTGTTTTCTCCTGTTTCAATTTCCTTATATCATTTCCCTAAATTTGTGGAATATACCTATTTAAGATCATGACATTTCTATCACGAAAAAAGGACTGTACTGAAGTACTGTCTATACATGGCAAGTAAAAGGCAAAAACTAGTCATATCTGTAAAATTTAGTGGAGCATATTATTTACTTTTCAAATACTTTCAATGAATCTCATCATCAATCATGTTTTTGACTGTGAAAGGAACAATATTGTGTTTATGAACAAATTAACTATCAATTTATTTAATAACAGTGTGTATAGTATGTAAATATAATTATATTTAAGCACTACTGTATGGTAATATGATTTTAGAATGACGTCTTTACTTTGAATTAATTATATTATTGTTGATATTCGTTTATTTGTCTACAGTTTTTTATAGTGGATATCTGATGCTTATAAAACAGGATTACACTAAGTAACAAACATTAATAATCTGGGGCAGCCATATTTTCGAATAAAAAGACTATATCATTAACCTTGACTCCAACATTTAAAAAGTTACCCTTAAATATCGAAATTCTAATCGATGATGCAAGAATTTCAAAAACAAACATGCTATATGTATGATAAAAGAAGTCCAACAAAATAAACCGTATATACAATATAACTTGTTTCTTGAGAAACTTAAAGGCAATATCTCACTAATACAATACTGAATGTACATCAAAATATGTGTGCCTTAGCGTAATCCTTCAAGAAATGTATAAAATATACATTAAGATAGTTACACATTTGCTACCATGGATATGATAAAATTGACGTTTAGTAAGAATACCAAATTACCAACTAGAAGACGTGCGAGTTGGATCGATTAATCTAAAAACAAAAGGTGAACGGAATGAAGGTGTCACATGAAAGTGCGGTTTTATGATGGTAATAAAAATTGTAAATCTAGAATAAAATACGTATGTTGTGGAAGAGCAAATTGTGCTACAGCACAATCATAAAATCGCATCTCATTCCCCTTTTACTATCTTGTTAACTGGTCTATTGATTCTGACTTACCAGCTGCTATGAATTATTAGTAAAGTCCTAATATTTTTTGTTTTGGCAAAGGCGCGTCCGTTCTTACTACCTGGGGAGAGGGAGGTATTTTTGAAATCGGTGATAATAGTAGCATCCGACAATTATCATTATTGTCATGACAGCATTGTAAACTTGTTACACTCTCAATAGACCGAAATTTTGTGGCATTTTCGATAAAATTTGTATAAAATGCATCTTCATCCGAAAATAGGTAATATAATATACCTATGCCAAAAATATGAGTCAGCTATTACAAAAACAATGTGTAAAAAATTAAAAAGTTTGGAGCTCTTCCACCTAATATCAGTCTATTTATACATGCGCTTGTATGTATCTCAACAATACTCGACGAAAAATTGTCCCTATCTGACTGCATTGTCGAACATTGTTGGGTGACCCTATTGCACGACTCAAATCGTGTGCATAAATAGACGCTAATGGTACCCATTCACGTACAGGCGGACTGCAGTCCCGAACTGTGAACGATCTGGCCGTCAGTCCAAATTTCAGCATACACGTACAGGTGGCCGGCAGGTCTGTGCCTGCAGTTTACAAAGATTGCACAAAGTGTGTACGTGTGTGGTGGTTAATCGTCAGTCCGGGTCGTACGATAGCGACTTTCATTGTATTTAAAAATTGTGTACACAGTTTTGGTAAAAAATGTCTGATGTGACGTTAAATCAGCCATCGTTTGTTACTGGTTTTATTGATATTTATCGACAGTTACCAAGTTTATGGAATATTAAGTCAAAACAGTATTCAAATCGAAAAGAAAAGGCAAAGGCGTATGAGAAACTTATAAGTTATTGCAAAACCGTAGACAAAAATGCTTCGATGGATATGGTAAAAAAGAAAATTAATAATATTAGAAGTGCCTTTCGAAAGGAGCACAAAAAAGTTCTAAAATCAAAAAGAAGTGGATCATCTACAGAAGAGCTGTATGAGCCAACTCTTTGGTATTATAAATTACTGCTTTTTACGGCTTCGCAGGAAGAACCTAGGATGTCAGTTTCAAATGATGATGAGTCGGAGTCGGAGGGTGACGATGCCAATAATGAGGTAAGGAAATTTTTTGCAAATAAAAAAATCAAATAAAATCTTTTTATTTCTTGTCTAAAATAAATTCTTTAATTCTACAAAATTATCAAGTAAGATACATATTATAATAGGTACATTGATTAAATAAAATTTTCTTGCCAGGAAACTTTTCCAACAGTATTAAAGAAATTTTTATAATTCACTCTATTTTCTTTGGCTTCACGTGAAGCATTACGACCATATCCTGGTTGTAAATTATCTAATGGTCTTTCTGCTCTCCAGTCTCCCCTTATTATATCCCCTGTGTCAATAATTTCGGTGTCAACATCATTTCTCGTTATATATGAAGTTTTAGAACGTCTCAAAAAATTATGCAACGCGCAAGCTGCTAGTACAATTTTGTCAATTTTGTCAGGTTGCATATTAATTGGAGTATGGAATACTCGAAAGCGATTAGCTAATATACCGAACGCGTTCTCAACCGTGCGGCGCACACGGCTAAGTCTATAATTGAAAATAGATTCTTCTTTTGTTAAATTGTTTCCCGGGAAAGGTTTTAAAATATTTTCATGTAATGCAAACGCATCATCTGCCACAAAAACGAAATTTAAATTATGCTTTGTTACGTCATTAGAAGGCAAATTTAGCTTTTTTTCTATAAGTTTATCGTAAAATTTTGTATATTCTAAGACCCCTCCATCAGAAACTCGCCCATTACAGCCTACATTAACATATATGAATTCGTAATCAGCATTAACAAGGGCCATGAGAACTATACTGTGATAGTCTTTGTAGTTAAAAAAATATGACCCGCTGTTGGCTGGTTTAACAATTCGCAGATGTTTACCATCAATAGATCCTCCACAATTAGGAAAGTTCCATCTGGTTTCAATATTATAAGCTATTTCTTGCCACTCCTCTGATGTTTTTGGAAACTGTAAAAAAAATTATAATATACATTTTGTATTTTGTACTTTCAGGAAGATGTCACCCAGCATGATACTCAATTTTCACCGCTTACTGAAGATGCGTTGCAAGCAGCGTCTGAAATATATCAGCTATCACCACCACAAACACCGCATCAGTCATCAACCTATTCACGTCCATCAACTTCCAGATCTTCTAATAGTGCAAAAAGAAAGAAGTATGGACAGGAAGAAAGTATCCAAAGGATTTGCGCTAAGTTGGACAGAGAAAATGATGAATGTGACAGTATTGGAGAAAATGTGGCCCATAAACTGCGCCGAATGGACAGCGACCAGAAAATGTATGCTGAATTATTACTTCACCGTCTTCTCTTCCTTGGTGTTCAAAAGAAATTATGCGAGGAATCTCATATATGTATAAATTCGGCACATAGCGTTTCATCTCATTATAATACTATGTTGCCAATGCAACTTCAATACAATCAACAGCCACAACCTTTAACTCCTTCTCCTTTCCAACCCATATTAACAAATCAGCAACAACAAACTTTCACTTCTTCGCAACACACATCAACTTACAATCAGCAACAAAATGTCACTCTTTCCCGACCCTCAGCAACTATTTCTGAAACACAGTACACAAATGCAGAAGGAGAAAACCTCGACATAAATATAAACTATATAAGACCTCTTGATAAAACTACCCCTGAAACAATGGAGGAAAGCGGCAACACGTCGAAACTTAAAGGATCTTTAACTGAATTGCTGGTTTTTAATCGATGAATTTACGAAACTTCAATGACTACATACTTAAAGTTTTGTTTTTACTTGTCGACTTGTTCATTATTACCTATTGTCTATGTTTTTGACAATAGAAATCAAAAGTTTATTTAAAATTCGTTTCTATAACACAAGTTGTTCACCTTTAAGTTTTTATGTAAGGATACATTTTTCAATAAAATACGTAGTTGAAATATTATTTTGAAATTTTACTAAAACATAAAAAATTACTTCAAATTACGACAAAAGCGAAAATTTTGGAATGCAAGCATAAAATACATAATTTTTAATAAGAATATTAGCGAGGTATTTAGGTTAAAAAATAAATACCTAGGTACTTTTATAAATGTACGCTTCTAAAAATTTTGGCTTTCAATCTCCTTCAACTATTCCATTTCTTTCTAAAATATTATGCACTGTATTCCAAAATTTTATGAACTTACCTTCATATATTCCTTTTTCAACGCCTTGTAAATCCATTCGCAGGTTTCTGGTATAATTTTTCCTAGTGCTTGGGGAGAAATAATGGCAGAAAATTTCAAATCCTCAAATGTACGTCCAGTTGCCAGATACCGCAAAGTCACTATTAACCTTTCTTCAGCACTAATGGCTTTTCTCATTACTGTATTCTGTCGTTTTATGTGGGGTTTAACTAAAGTTAATAATTTTCTGAAAGAAGCCTCGTCCATCCTAAGATAATTTTTAAAATCTTCGCTGCTGGAATCTTTCAATCGCTTCAGGAGTTTCATATGAGATAAATTTTCACGATCTCTTAACCATTCCTTCACCCAAAAACGTTTGCCATTTTTTCCGCGTTCATTAGTTAATAGCAAAATCAAAAGTAACAAAATAAGTTTCTTTTTTCTTAACATTTTACCACTGCTTTATTGTTCTTTTGTCTACACACTACAAGCAAGAACTGCGAAACTTTTGCGACGGACTGTGGATGTATGGCAAATAATGAGGCGACCTGCAGTTCTAGGACTGTCAGGCGATGGCCTGCAGGCCGCATCGTTTGTATACAACTGAACGTGTATGGTCTATATCGCAGGCCACGGCTGCAGGTCAAATTTCAGTCCATTGCCTGCAGTCCGCCTGTACGTGAATGGGTACCATAAGGCGCATGTGCATAAAAGCACGCATTTCTATCGACACTTTAGTTGGTGATTCAAATACCAACTCATGCCACACTATTTTTCTTTTTTGATACTAATTTCTATTGTTCTGACCTATACCAAAATCAATGTATTTGCTACATTTTAGCATTTAGTATTTACATTTACAAATTTTTTTGAAAAGTGAAAGGCTTCCACCTGTTACTTGCTTTTGCAAAAACATCACCGGCTAAAAATCGTAACTGGAAGTGCGAGTATTATTAAAAGTCATTTTGAGGATTATCCAGTACCAATTCGCACTAATATTTCCTAGTTTGTAGTATCTGCTAACTAGACCTACAAGCTTTTTTAAACAAAAGGGGGTAGGGATTGAGAATTAGTAATTACATAAACGATACAAACTTTCCTTAGGTGATTGTTAGTCTAGCATCACTTATTGTAAGCCAATGAGCAATGCTGTATATTTACCAATCTATGTATTGCATTAATAAAAATATAGATTTAATTTAATCTAATACTAAACATTGATAACTATAATTTTGTATTAAAAAGTTTTATCGCCGATTTCAAAAATACCATATGAACTCATACACAGTCAGTTACCACTATATAGTACAACTCAAGAATCATAAAAAGTGTAAATCGCAAAACTGGCTAGGTAACCTAGATCCAGATCTCGAAGTGTAGCTCCACCATCTATCTTCGACCTTAGTGACATATCGTCGGTGATACTGCAATATGTCGTATGTCACAAAAATTGCAATTTTTTGTTTATATATCCATTGTAACCAAAATACAGTCCTCTATGCCCCTGCAAAATGTTGTATATGAAATTTGAACAGGTACCCTGATTGTTTACACATACAAATATGTCGTATGTTTTTCTTGACAAAACTGGATACTTCAATATGCCGTATGTCAGAATCATGCTCTCCGTCTATGTCGTAACGCTACACAATTGGATATTTCGATACGTCGTATGTCACTTAAATTATTATACATTTTAGGTTAGCTGCAAGCAGTAACGTGTCAGTAACAACTAAATGTGAGTTTTGTGATAGTTTTTTGAGTTTACATGGTGAGTTTGTTGTTATTTTCTTAATTTAAACTACAAAAACGTTATAGTGTTTGTAGTTTTTAGTCAAGAAATACCATAATTAACAAAAAAAAACAACAATATTATTTTGTATAACCTTAATTTTTTCTGAATAAATATATTATATCAAAACGGCAAGTAAAATTCACGTAGGTTATTTATTCCTTTTCTCTTTAATGATATGATTTATTGTAGTAATTAATCGATTTTTTTTAACACTGTGTGACATACGATATTTTACATTCCAAATTTAGCTTTTATTTAGTATTATTTCTGTTTGTTAAGTATTGACATACAACATATTGCATCTTTGTTTTTTTTTATTTTCAGTGAATCCATAATGTCAAACAGAGCGCGACTGTTGGTGGAACTAGCTCGAAATTCAGCATCTAGTGCAGTAGCCTCTCACCAAGTGCCCAAAGACGATAACATTAACAATTTTGCGACCCAATTGAACGATGCATCAGATCCTCAAAGAACAGAGAGTATGGTTCAAGTGTCAGTTCAAGATCTATTAGGAAATGCAGAATTGGTAGATAATCCAATTTTAACAGTCCTAGAAGTGGCAGAAATCCCAAAAGAAACATCGCATTCCAAAACTGATGAAAAGTTATATTATTTGGAACAAAACACAGATTCTGATAGTGGTATTGTACCAATAATTGACTATCAGGAAGAAGTTGTAGCAGATGAAGAAGAGGTCCATGATGCAACTTCAGATACTGAAAGACATTCAGAACCAGATCCATTTCAGGAAAGTGGCAGCGAGTATCTGCCAACAGATACTGACTCAGAAAATAGTTTAGGAAACGAAAACGTTGAAAACCAAGGAGGTGGAAACCAAGAAGATCGTCGGACACCGGATGGAAGAACAAAAAAACGTAAGAGTAAAGGGCAAAGAGATCCATCGCAATGGAAACGAGCAAAAAATTCGCAAGCGAGACTTAAAGGCCATGCATACATGGGATTTCAGAAAAATACTGGAGGCAAGTACCAGCAAACAGTCTGTAGAGTTCAGCGCAAAGTAAAGTCGTCATGTGGGGGACACAAAAATGACTCTAAGGGACCACAACAAAAATTTGAATGTTTGCAAATTACAAATGAAATGCGTAATCAAATATTTCAATCTTTTTGGGAAATTAGTTCTTGGGAAGGTAAAAAAATTTATGTAAGTAGTCTTGTACTGCACTCTCAGCCCAAACACAGAAGACGAAACACTGCAGAAGAAGAGTCTCGAAAGAAAACAGGGTTTAAATATTATTTAATAACTAAAGATAATCCAGAGTCTACCAAAAAATATCACGTATGCAAGAAAATGTTTTTAGCCACTTTAGGTATTGGAGAAAGATGTGTAAGAGAATGGGTTTTAAACAAATGTTTACCAAATATGGAGCTAGGTATTGAACCGGCTTTAGTAGAGCCACCTCAGGATTCCGAATGCACAAAAAATGTTAATCAATTCTTAGACAGCTTGCCTAAAGTTGAATCGCACTACTGTCGAGCATCCACTAGGAAACTTTATTTGGAACCCACTTGGAATAGTTACAGACATTTGCATCGTGAGTTTATTAACTATTGTGAACGTCAAAACCTAAGATCTTGTTCTTGGAGACTTTTCTATAAAACTTTTAAGACAAGAAATCTTGAAATTTATACACCTCGTAAGGACCAGTGCAACACATGCGTGAAGTTTAAAAAGGGAAATTTAAGTCAAGCAGATTACGATAGTCACGTTGCCAAGAAAGAACAGGCACGGTCAGAAAAAGAGCAAGACAAACAAGAAGCTATCTCATCAGAGGCAGGAAACTCAAAGTATGTCTACACTATGGACTTACAAGCTGTTCTTCTTTGTCCTTTTACCCAAGCCTCCGCCATGTACTATAAACAAAAACTGAAGGTTCACAACCAAACATTTTTTAATCTTAATAACAAAGATGTGTCTTGTTATTTATGGCACGAGGGAAATGGAGGTTTAGACAGCGATGTTTTTGTTTCCATTTTAGTAAAGTTTCTTAATGAAGAGATAGAAAGGCAGAGCCCGAAGGTAATAATCCTATGGAGCGACGGTTGTACCTACCAAAATAGAAATGTGAATTTGTCAAATGGTTTGCTGGAGATAGCCATGGAAAAAAATATTATTATTGAACAAAAGTACCTGGAGGTAGGACATACCCAGATGGAGGTGGATTCAGTCCATAGTGTAATAGAGAGAAAGCTGGGAAGAAGAAATGATATAGCTGTTCCCGCCGATTATAATAAAATTATAAGAGCGGCCAGGCAAAACCCATCCCCTTATAAAGTAGTGTCTCTGCATTTCAACGATTTTTTGCAATACAAAAAAGGAATGTATTCACAAATTCGACCTGGAAGCAAAAAAGGTGATCCCTGTGTTACAGACATTTGTGCATTGCAGTATCTTCCTGAAGGACTAATAAAATACAAAATAAATTTTTCGGATGAATGGCTCGAACTGCCACGTAGACCATGTCGTACTAGAACTTCTTTCTCTCACGAACCTCTATATTTATCTCCTCGCCAAATTGAGGATACAAAATTCATACATCTTCAAGAATTGAAATCTGTCATCGAATCAGATTACCATGGATTTTATGACAATTTAAAGCACAGCTGCAAGTCTGACCAAGTTTGTTCACATATCAAAAATTAATATATTTTATTCTTTCCTGTTTATTTTAAGATTACATATTTGTTTAGAATTTTTTGTTTAGTTTTTCATTACGTAAATAAAAAGAATAGAACTGTTAAAAATTATTTTTGTGAGATGTATAATGGATTACAAAATTGTCGTATGTGACATAAATATTTCCATTTTCAATGAAATATGTCGTATGTAACGGCATTTTGCTTAATATTCCATTGAACAAAAAAATCGAGTTAAGTACTAATACCCTAATAGAAAAATACATAGTAGACAAAAAATAGCAATTTCAAATTTAAAATTGGTCGATAAAAACAGTTTTCTTTCTCTCCTGAAAAATTACCTCTTTTCGACATACGACATATTGCAGTATCACCGACGATATATGACATACGTACGGTAAAAACTTAGGGTATTTAACGTCACTTTATTATACGAAATACAACTCCGTATTGGCCGAGCGTTGAGAGCAATAGAAAGCCTAACATTCACTGACAATCCAACGGGTTTGAGGACATCATTCTATATTTTGAGTTCATCTATAGAACCATCCACATCTGCTCCAAATCAAGCAGTGCGCCCATCTTGATTCAAGAGACATTCTACATTACTTCAAACGATTCAAATCTCTACACGGTTTTCCAGTTTAATCTCCAACCTAAATATTCCGAAAACAGCACATTTTAGAAAAAAGTGGTGACCTTGACTGCGATCTTTAAGGTCCTTTCAAGATCGAGTGAATATTTTCAAACGGAACCATCCCTTTTTCACAAACTTGAAAAGAAGAGCAAATCTTATGTCTGAGCATCACCGTCATAACCTTGCCCATCGCCTTCAAGGCCAAGAAGACGTCGAAAACAAGTTGGTCGAAAATGCTCAACAACACAGTTGTGAGGTATGTGGGATCGACTCGCCCAAAGGTGACCTTGACCATGACCTTGAAGTCCAAAATTTCCAAAAGAGAAAGCAGGAAATTTTACGTCTGAATGTGATCCGGACCTCAAATAACAATTGAGTTTGGCACGACCTTAACTTTAAGTCATTCAGACATAAAATTTCGTTCTTCCATTTCCAGTGTAAAATGAGAGGTTCTTTTAAAAATTTTGACTTGACCTCAAAGGTCATGGTCGGGGTGATCTTTGGGTGAGCCTTACGAACCTACAACTGTGCTGTCAAAAAATTTTGCTATAGCAAATTTTCGATGTTTTGAGTTAACTTTGAAATGGCACTGAAGGCAACAGTCAAGGTCGCTGTGTCCTTGAAGGTCGTAGTCTAGGTCATCACGGAGTTATCATATTCGTTTTTCAAACGTTATACATGTAGCAGCCGCCCTAATACTGTCACATCAGCGCCGCGAATTTAACGTCCGTGTGTCACATTCAAAATCAAATACTGCAAGTAAGCGCGTTGACAAATACACTGATCCGCATTCCCTGTCAATTGAGTTGTATGGTTGTAGTGGTAACATTTTGTATCACCACAGCAATTAGAACGGTACATTATTAAAAAATCTATTCAGCTACAGAAGAAGTATTGTCGATCGGATTTACGTCATTTTTGAAGGATGAAGAAACACCTTTGGCTGCCCCACAACCTTCGAGCTACGTAGTATGTACGCACCTTACGTCCTCAGATATTCGCCAATTGCACGTAATTGGCTGGTAGCATCCCCACCTGTCCCGTGCGCTGTACTTCGCCTGTCATCCATCCACCGTCGATGCTACTTACATTTATTATAAGATCGCCGTCTTGGAATGACACCTGCAAAGATGTGTATGCTATTATGTATTTTATTCCTACACTATTGGCCCGGTAGAATGACCATTGTAATGTTAACACTGCACTCAGATATGGAAGAAAATAAAACTGGCAAACCTAGTAAAAGTATGTTGTTTACGGTACTACTGCTTTTTTCCGTGATTAGCTTAGCATTACCAGTATACATACACTTTTCAAACGTGAACAGTACACTAGGTCATGACTATCAACAAATTGTCACTTTAGTCAACAACAGATGCTTTTTTTTTCATTTCGCTTTGTTGCCTGTTGTCTTATCCTGTGTGATACTAGCACTTCATCGGCAATACTACAGCGCCATTGTAAAACTATTTGAAGACGCCCGTCCAACATGGAAAAATATTCAGTCAAAATTAACAACTTTTGGAATTCTCATTAAAGCATCAAGTATAGTCGTCACATATCAGGTTATTTTCAAGCATCAAGCATTGAACACAAACTGTCAGAGTAATATGACACTTGACGTTCTAAACAGAGATTAGGCTGTCAAATCAGTCAAAAAGTTCAGCTGACCTAACCTTGATTAGAAAATGACCTAAACATAACCCATCATTGACTGTTTTGAACTATACTGTAAATATGACCCTTGCAATTGAATTATTTATATCCACTGCTAAGGTCTATGATCACAATTTGAATTCGGTATATTTTGGTATGTTGTTACTGCAGTTGGGTAAGAAGGTAGAAAGGAATCTCGCCTCGTCTGAACTGTATTTTCGTAAAAAAACGTGCAATAAACTGAGCAAACTAAAGTGAGCTGAAAGTATCTGAAATTGTGTGTGAAAGGAACGTAACTTTTGTTACATGAACATAGGCTTCAGCTTCCAAATACTTGCCGTGTTTACTGTTTTGAAGAGAATGGAGGGATTGTTTATCTTCAATGATCAAAGTATCAATAATTGAATAACATCTGTGCTTCTACTTATATGTACATGGTACATATTGAAAGTGGGATTCAAATGGCGAACCAGCTGAATCAATAAATACAGTGATGTTAAATAAAAAAAATATATACATACATATATAACAACAAGTAGGAAAAGTTCTCCACATGATCATATTCTCTTCATACATATATATATATACACATACATATATATATACATATATCATGCGCTTAAAAATAATATTAGCTTCTCAAAATAATAAATAAAAAGTATGATTTTATGATGTGGAAAAGATAGTATCAGTCAAGTAGCTTGATCCTTGCATGCTTACGAAAACTTGCTAAGCTCATACATTTAAAGGAATATTCCAACGAATTATATAGAACTGCCGAATTATATGAAAAACTGCGCGTGAATAAGACTGTAGAATGAGGTGGAATTCTGATACACAACCTATCTCTAACCAACCGATTATGAACAACAAAGTTAAATAGAATTTTTTATCTGAAGTAGGCGGGCTTCGAAGTGGTTATTACTTTGTGAATAAATACTAGATGGTGATATTCGACTAATTTATCAAATTTGAGCCATTTCAGCGTCCTGTATTTCTGGGATAGAAATTTTCTCAATCCTCATATAAAACGGACACAATTATTCTAATAAATTGTGATTGGCAAACCATGTCAATATCATGTTGTAGCTCTATATTAGATGTTGGTAATTCACTAGCTTTAAAATAATGTACTATTTGGGTTTCTGCAAAAGATTGCATTTCAGAATTTTCCATTACTGCATATAGATCGAAGGTATAGATGAGTAATAAGAGAGGACCTAGGATAGATCCCTGAGGCCTCCAGATGGTATGACACTTGGGACAGAGCTCTGTTTAGAGAGACTTCCTGAATGAATTCGGTCGGTTAAATAAAAATTTAAGTGAGGTATTATCAAAGAAAATATATTTCAATTTAGCTAGAAGAAGGAGATGATTGATCCTATCAAATGCCTTAGAATAATTAACCAATATTGAAGCTACTGTGATCTTTTTATCAAGTGCACGTAGCACATTATCACTTAGATTTAATAGGGCAGCTATTGTAGTATAGTGTTTTCTGAAACCAGACTGATTAGTGGATAAGATTTTGCATTCCTCAATGTAAGCAGTTACTTGAATCTGAACGATCTTTTCTAAGATTTTTGATAACACCGGCAATAAACTTGTTGGTCGTAAATCTGAAAGCCGTGTTGGTTTGTTAATTTTGGGGATAGGAATAACTATGGCATGTTTCCACAAAATGGGAAAGTAGCCTTTCTCAATACATGAATTGATTAGATGCACAATATGAGCAAACGTTATTGGCAAACTGACTTTAATCATGGTTAAAGATAAGGTATTGATGCCCTTAGCATCCGACTGTAAGCTTTTTATTGCCTGAAATACATCAAAATGTTCGGCAATTCTTAGAGAAAAGTTATTGTTTGGGTGAAACTTATTTCGATTATAAAATTGAATTACATCTTCGGAAATATCATTAGCACAGTAGACGCTCATAAAGTAGTCATTACCCGCATCGGGATCACTAAAATTTGACGGTATACAGGGTTTACTACTAAAATTTATATTAATATTTTTGAGTCACTTCCACAACACTTTCGCATTACCTTGCTCCGATAACAATTCAATGCGAATCTCTAAGAGAGCTTTATTTCATTTCTGTTTATACTTAGCAAAAATTTCTTCCGTTCGATTCTTTCTAAAAAAAGCCAAAGCTTCATCTTTTTCTTTCAGTAGGTTCTTAAGGTTGCTGTTCACCCAAGCATCAGGTTTTTGTTAACTCTGAATGTTCTGATTGGAGCGTGTTCATCATATGCATCTATAATTGCTTTAGTTAAGTACCTATTCAACTTTTCAATGGTTTGTAAGTAGAAAATTGTATCTAATTCCTTTGATTGAAGCTCTAGCAAAAAACTTTCCTCACTGAACTGTTTAAAGTCTCTTATCGTGATAAATTTGTTTTTTAACAGTATCTTTCACGTTCATACTACAAAATACGACTTTATGGTCTGAAATATTACAAGCATCCAGTATAAAACATTCATCAAACAGTTGTGGTTTATTGGTGAAAATCGGGTCCAGAAGAGTTTCTGTATCATTCCTTACACGAGTAGCATCTTTGACGAGCTGAGTAAAGCCCACCAACTCAAAGCAAGGAGAAAGAGCGATCTGTGGATTAAGAAGATTAACCAGTAATAATAACTTTGACAAAATTAAGACAGATTAATGGCAGCAGAGTGTCTAAGATGTTGACGCATTCTGGAACACTTTCAGATGGTGGTCTATATAAGACACCTACAAGAAGTTGACATTTGTTAGTAGATATTTGTAACCACCAGCTTTCCAAACACGTCCCTGCATTAATATCAAATGTAATACGCTCCAGTTGATAGTTTGAACGAACGTATACGCCGACTCCACCGCCACGAGTGCTTCTATCTCAGCGAAAGAGATTGTAATCTCTGATACTCACCAGCAGTTTTGCTAGGAATGTCTTGGTTCAACCATGTCTCTGAGAGAGCAAAATTGTGGAATTTTTCAACTAATATTAAGTTAACAACCGCATCGAAGTTCGTCAAATGACCTATTCTTAAGTTATTATTCATATTGAATTCTTGATTTAAGTTGATCTAATTTATTTAGATAGTACGAAAATTGTAAACTGTTAACAGAGTGATCAGTCGGGCAATTGGTTTTCAATTTATTGTTAATTTCTTTGCAATTGATTCAGATAAGATTAGATGAACAGTCTCTCTTTTCGTGATTACCTGAGCGATTAGGGCATACGGCGGAAGGATTTTTGCTTTTATAATGTCCAAACTTGTTACATTTATAGCAAATAACAATATTAAATGTTCTTTATGCCGCATTTCTTCCAGCCTACGTACAAAAAACCCCTTCCCATGACGTTGAAAACAGAAGGAGGAACTTCTAAAACAATATTAACAGTATTTTTATAGTTTTGTAACCCCTCGAACATCGTTTACAGGGATACTGAGATCATTGTCTCCAATTATGTTATCCGAAATCCGAGGATTATCAGCAGCAGAGTTATCCACACCCTGAACTAAAATCCTTGGTCGTAGTTTTTTGGGCTCATAGATATCAAAGTTTCCAGCTTCCCGCTTAAGGCCATCTTTCAAATTCTGCAGAGATTTTATGTCAGCACAATTAATTAGTATACCATCTTTAATCAGTTTTGTGCCAGTAAGATTAGCTTTCATAGCACCTGGCCTAAATTTAGATTTCACTTCTTTTTCTAACTCCGCATTCCCCAAGTTCTGGTCTGGTGATTTGATTACTAATATAGCGGGTGTGTTTACCTTCTTTGTTACCGCCTTAGAGTAAGGAACTGACGACAAGGAATGAGGCAAGAAACGGGTAGCCGATGACGACACAACAGGATCAGAGTGCATTTGTTTTTTCAACATATTATTGGAAAACTCAATCAAGTTCATTCACATATTTTCTTAACAACTGCTTTTCTCTCGAGAGTCGATCAACTTCTTTTTGCAAGAGCGTAGTATTAAACGTGTCACTATATTCTTTGTTGATTTCTGCCCAGTTTTTACAGCGAAATTCTTCTCTCTTCAATCTGACAATCCTAGCGATTGCATCGAAACACGTCCCATGAACACTTGGCACAGTTGGCATTAGAACATTTCACTTCACTGGGTGAACAGAATTTGGCGCAAAATTTGCATTTATTATCGGGAGGTCTAGTCGGTTCGACCGGCTGGCCCGACATCGCGATCGAATCACCGACAACAGGGAGATGGGCCAGTGGAGTTTCTTGAACGCTTTTCTTTGCTCGTAATGTGTGTTGTAAAGGGTGTCTCAACAAGAGCGCCGGATCTGAATTTGCCGCCATTTTTTGTACAAATGGTATGGTGTTTACTTGATGACAGCTGTCATGTCCAGACCACGCGATTGGCCATCATTGAGCAGTATTCAAACGAGCAACGTTTAATTATTGTGAAAACTCACTACAAAAATTGAGGAAATTATGCGGAAACAGTTTAATTACAAAATTGCAGACAAAATCCACGTTGTTAAATGTGAAAGACCACTCTTTGTCGCTGTCCCGGTCGGTGTCTCGAAAATATAGTCGCAATGCGGGAAAGTGTGGCCGGGAATCCAGGCACTTCCATTCGGCATCGTGGCCAAGATTTGAACCTTACCAGACCCACTCTGCAACGAATTTTGACAAAAAAATCTGTGCTTGCATGCGTACAAGGTTCAATTGACGCAAGAACTCAAGCCAACGGACCATGCGCAGCGCCGAGAATTCGTTGATTGGGCGCTGGAGCACCACCAAATTGATGCGGATTTCTCGAAAAAAAATCATGTTCTCTGATGAGGCACATTTTCAACTGAAGGGGTACGTCAATAAGCAGGACTGCCGAATTTGGGGTTCTGACGGCCCTCGTGTAATAATCGAACAGCCAATGCATCGTGGAGAGGCGAAGTGATTGGACCTTATTTTTTCGAAAATACAGCTGGAACTGCGGTAACTGTTAACGGTGTGCGGTATCGTGAAATGTTAACCGAGTTTTTGCGACCCCAACTGGATCGAATTGATGTGGAGGATATGTTCTTTCAACAAGACAGTGCGACCTGCCATACAGCACGCGAAACAATGGTGTTACTTCGGACCAAGTTTCCAGACCGTGTCATCTCTCGGTTTGGCGATCAAAATTGATCAACAAGATCGTTCGATCTAACGCCAATAGACTTCTGAGGCTATGTGAAGGAAAAGGTGTATGCGAACAAGCCACAAACGCCTCAAAGAAGAGATACGGCGCGTTATCGACGAAATAGAGCCACAGTTGTGCGAAAACATTATCCAGAATTTTAAGAAAAGACTGACCCTGTGCCAGAGGTTTTGTGGTGGCCCTTTACCGGATGTCCTATTTCATATTTAATCCCAACTATTCCTCTTCATGTTGAAATATAAATACTCGCTTAATTCGAAAAGAAATTGTGTTTTTCTTGAAAATCAAATCCGGCGCTCTTATTGAGACACCCTACTTGTTACTGCAACACTCTCAGTCAAGCGTTTTTGCTTTGAATTCTACTGGTCTATATTCATACTGTGACAAGAATAAATAGTACTGTTGGCGCCATCTGTTGGGAGAATCTCCTACTCGCCAGAGCTTCATGGAGGATCTCTGTTGGGATCGTGCCAGTCTACTTTGGTGGCGACATCTGTTGAGAACCATGCCAGTGAGTCGCCTTTTATATCGACCCGAAGTGACCTCGAATATTCTAGTCTTCCGCTTTGTGGCTTGCCGGACTTCTCTAGGCCCAGGATGCGGACTATATAACTCGACGGCCGGGAGATGGAAGCAGGGTACAATAGAGTAGAGCGGAGTGGAGTATACTTCAGTCAATGCGCGACATAAGAATTAGTCAGACATAAATAGTGGTATACAGAAGTGTTCTACCTAGTCAAGAAAAAAATTAGTGCATTTCTTTTTGTGGAATCCAGCGTTTTAATCCACACCCAAAAGAACTCAGAAAAACGCTACAATACTAATACCAGACGAATGCGAGGTTAAAAATAACCAAACTGTACAGCATCGACGTCAAGGGTCAATTTTAATCATGGGAATCGAATGTTTTTAGAACGAGTACTACGAAGGTTGAGGCGATTAGAATGGGCCAAGTGCAAAGTTTCTACCCTTATAGTAGTATGCCATTTCCGTAACGATGGAGCAGTGGACGATAGAACATCGCTTATTTGCATACGACACATTTATCCGAAATAACGAGACAGCGATCACTACGCAGTGACTTTTCGCACGTACTTCAATATTAGTAGGCGTGGAGCTGTTCCATCTCGCAACGTAATCTTAATATGGGTGAAGAATCTAAGAACAACAGGTAATCTAATGAAAAAATCAACCTAGTCCTAAAAGAACGGTAAGAACTCCTGTAATCGTAGAGCAAGTGAAGCGGTCGTCAGAATTCCTACACGGTCTGCCCGAAAACATGCAATTGTACTAAGCTGAATCTGAAATCGTTTAGAAAAATTTTGCATAAGGAATTAAACTTTCACCCCTACAAACTACAGAATGTTCATCAATTAAAGGAAGGCGATTTTGAAAATCGTGACAATTTCGCTACGAGAATCAGAGTTTTAGAGGACAACTTAGACCTGCATCTTATAATGAGCGACGAAGCTCATTTTCACTTAGTTAATACAGATAATTTCAGGTAGTGGGCTCCTGAAAATCCACGAAAGATCCATGAGCGACCTCTACAATCTGAAAAAGTCACATACCATTGGTCCAACAGGCATTATTGGTCCATTTTTTAAGAGGCCAGCCGTACCGTCAAAGGGGATAAAACCCAGGAATGTGTAGTTTCAGCAAGGTGGTGCCACGCCACATACCGCCAACGCATCAATGAATGTTGTCCGCAACCTTTTCCCAGGAAAAGTCATTACACATTTGGGAGATGTGCCGTGATCTTTCAAGGTCTTGGCAATTTGTGATTTTTTTCTGTGGGGAGGGGGTATTTGAAGAGTCGTGTATGTGCTCACAAGCCCCGTAATTTGGTCGAGTTGGAAAACGCAATTCGCCAGGAAATCATCAGTATTGATCGAGCGATGTTAGACCCTTCAAAATGAGAATCGAAAACTGCATCCAACTTGATGGTCACCATCTTCATTACATTATTTTCCATACTGAGAACATGTTGTAAATGGCATAATGTAAGCTTTGATGTTAATAAAAGCTGATTATCTCTTAAATTTCTTCTGTAATATTCATTTCAAAATGTACGGCAATTAGCAATGTTACAAACCTCATCGTCATCCTGCGCTTCATAGTCATACATTGCACGGTAAACTCTCCCTAGTGAACCATAATTGTGATTTACTGGATCCATATCATGTACAGAACCTGTAAAAAAATAATCACTGTCTATAGGGGAAGACCTTAATTCCTAATGAATGACAAACCTCACTATTTGTCCAGTGTTATCTCTGATTAAAATCCGGTCTGGGTCCAAAGCATTATGGCGAACGTCACAAGATCAGTATTTCCTGTGATCCGTCACTAGTTAATGTGAAATTTATTGACCGTGTAGCCTTTTATTATTAAGGTTTCATAAAAATACACTGTCACTGAAATAAATATTAATAAATACTGATGGTACGGCCATAGTAAATAATGACCATCTGACATTCGCCTACGGGTCCATATCAGGCTCATTGTCCTAACAATTAATTAAAACAATTTTCCTATAATACTGAATTAAGCCAATGAACCCCTTGGTTCAAATTTATATCAAAGTATAATAATAATTTAACAATGATTACCTATCGACAAAAGAAAATGGCATACTTTCGACCCACATTTCAACCAAAAAATATCTATTTAAATAGTTTCAGTATCACATTACAGCATAAACATTTTAACTTGCAAGGCAACATCGTGATAACGAATTTTTTTTTAACCGAAGCAGTCGTGCAGGCAAAAGCCTAAACGTCAGGGCACCGCGACTTCTATGAGGATCCCAAAGAAACTTTATTAATCCGATTTTTGAAGTGCCTAAGGTTTGTAGAACTGGGAAAAGTCTCCTCTTGTAAAGTAGTCAAGGTGGCAGCACCCCAAACATGTGAGCAATACTAGAGGTAAGGTTTTATCTGGGCCTTGTTCAAAGTGAGGTGATCATGTGGAGAAAAGTACTTCGTAGCCCTAAACAAATAGCCTAGCTTTTTCCCAGTAGCTGCTGGCAAACATGCGGCACTACTTTCAACAGTTACTTTTGGGTTCAGAAGTTAGCCAAAATTATGCCAAAAAGCCTTACATTTGAACTAGAATTAAATTGTTTGAACTTTGATATCAACTACATTTGAACCATTAGTTTACTGGAGTAGATAAATGAGAAAGATGTTATAAAATCTGAGCTTCGCCAGTTTCAACGATTTGCCAAATTCTTATTACAGGGTGCGGCAGAGAGGATGGACGGTTTTAAAAAAATCATAAAATAGTTAATTTTTACTCGAAAACAAATTTATTAATGGAATCAGGTTTACAAGGAAATAGCGTTTGAGACAGTCAAGTGTGGAACATCACATCAGGCATGTGGTGGCCGAAATCGTTGATGCAGTGCTGGAGGCGTTCTTGGAAGTTCGCGTAGACTCTCTCCAACATCGCTCTCTCAACTTGGGCGACTTCCACGCGAATTTCGCCCTTCAATTCGTCCAGAGTTCGGGGCTTGTTCGCGTATACTCTAGCCTTGAGGTGTCCCCATAAGAAAAAATCGCATATGGATAAATCTGGGGACCGAGGAGACCAATGAACATCGCCAAACCTGGAAATAAGGCGACCAGGGAAGAGAGGGCGAATAACGTCCATGGATGCTCGGGCTGTGTGGGCGGTCGACCCATCCTGCTGGAACCACACACGTCGGATTGGAACACGTCGCCGTCGTAATTCAGGGAGAAAGAAGTTGGTAATCATTTCGACGTAGCGCTCTGAGTTCACGGTAATATCACGACCATTACCGTCTTCGAAGAAGTAAGGGCCAATTATACAAGTTTGCGATACAGCGCACCAAACCGTTACTTTTGGGCTGTGCAGCGGTCTTTCGTGTAACTGTTGCGGATTTTCATTAGCCCAATAACGACAATTCTGCTGGTTAACCATGCTGTTTAGGTGAAAGTGGGCTTCGTCACTCATCGGCGAAAACGCGGTGTTCCACCGTCCAAGGCTCCATAACGACAACTGGAAAAATAATGCTAGGATCTCACGAGTCAAACGGCACCCTCCCCACCTCTCTCGTAGACGGAGGCGTCCCAAAAACGTCCGTCCTCTCTGCCGCACCCTGTATTAATATGCAGACTTATGAACCATTACTGCAATAAACAGTTTTATATATTATTATAAATAATCAATATATAGAGGCAAATTTCGTTGATCTGAGCAAGGCCTTTGACTGTTTATAACATCATATAGGTCTTTCAAAGCTACCATATTACTCAATAGATAGTTTTGGCTGATATATTTTATGCTATATTTTCTTTTTTTTTTGTTGTTTTATATTGTATGCCATTTATTTATTGATTGGACGTAGTTTGTTATAATTGTATCTTTTATACTTTTTATTGTCATTCTTTTAACCATATACTATATGTGTGTATGATCTGTAGTGTTTGTTTTTATATGTATTGTTTGTAAATGTATTTTCTTCTTGCTGCTAAGCTTCAATTATAGTATCAACTTGTGTAAGCACGTTTTGTGTATGCAATAGCGCCAATAAACCATTGATATTATTATTACTATGAAGACGTAGCCGTTTTTAATGATGGATCTAGAAGTACGACGTAGTTTTAATTTGAGATAAAAAAGAACAAGATGGATTTTTTGTATAATTCAATTGGTCTTCAAAATATCCTGCAATGTGTGCGTGAGTCTCACCTATATGCCTAGACGGAGGATTATCCACCCTGCCCACATCCGACGAATAGATGAGCGTTTGCGACGTCCTAGATGAATAGGGGCTCTGGAACTGTTGCTGTGATTGTTGCTGATTGGCCAGCGGGTCGTAGTCGGTGATTTTACCAATATGGGGTAGCGCAGCCTGGTGCATTGTCATTACAGGGGCAGGTGCGGGAGCAGGCATTGATGTTTGTTGGGGCGGCTGATGGTGGTGCTGTTGTTGTGGAGGTGGTGCCATCTGGTGCTGGTACGCGGCGCTAGAGTTATTTGCATTACGGGCGTCCGTTGAGGGATCCTAAGGACAAAACGAAACCATGGCATATTTCACTACATTTTTCACTTTATATGAATTCAGTATTGCTTGTAATCTTTCCAGGGCATGATAGGGAACCTGAAATACAACAAATTTCAGCCTACGTACCCTAGTTTTCGATATTTTTCAATTTCAACAATCACCAGAAACTGAGCATTTAAGTGTAAATAATAAAAAAATTATGTAATAAATGCGGGAGAATTCAATTCCTTTCGTAGTTGAGCTAACACAATCACAAAAGATGCAAAATCACTAAATACAATAAAATAAATATTTTGAACTCAGGAAGACGGAAAACTTTTACTTCTTTTTTCATAATAGCTGTTACTCTATTATATGTAGTATTTTTGAACATTTTACGACTGTATTAGCATAAGTGATCAATTCAACTGCCCACGCATTTTTTACAAAGTTTTTTTTATTATTTCAACTCAAATGCCCGATTTCGTGTAATTAACAGAAAAATCTCGAAAGCTACTGTTTTCCACTATACCTATATAGGATAAAATTTCTTGCATTTTAGATCACCTTTCACGCCTTGGAGAGGACACGGCAAAATACCAGCAACCCTGGATGTATAAAGTCCGCAATAGGGCACTTTCCGAAATTTTCATTTCGACGAAATATCAACAGTTTGCCTTAAACAGTGTATGTTTGTCTTTTTCTATCGAAAAGATGTTCTTACTCTCAAAAGTTCAAATGTAAAGTGTGGCGCTAAATCTATGAGGTAATAAGATGGCGTAACATAATAAGTCTCTCCATGTCCTATCACTAGAGTGTAAGTTTAAGATCAAACATATTATCACCTTATATGAGCATCCGGAATAGAAATCAAATCTTACTAGTTGTTTCTTTCAGCAGGAAATCAGAGAATTTAAATATTAGTGCTTTCACTGCACTAATTTCAAATAGGTTTCATTCTAACACAAAGGTGAAAAACGTGTATACGAATAATGGGTGTAAACAAGAAAGCTATTATACAGCAGTTTTGTCTAGGTAGAGAATACCCCACTGTTTAAATAGACAAACAGAATCGCCACAGAATTTGACACTTGTAAACTAGATATCTGCAAGTCCTGAGAGAACAAAAGCCAGCTTCGGTGCACATCCCCTTCAACACAGTGGTAGAGACCAAGTACTAGAACAACCAAAGTGCTCACCTGGCTGTCCCCCCTGATAGCTCTTGGGAGGAACGGCCACAGTGATGTTAGCTGCAAAGATCTAGACAAATACTTCCCCCTTTGCATTGAAGTTGGTTAAAATCATTCTGTTCTGACATCTTAGCGGTGGAAGGTTACTCTGTGAGTGATTTAACTCAAGCTGCTTAGCCAGCATTTTAAAACACTGACTACCATTGCATTTCAGTATTACCCTGTACCTATCATTTGTCGGTCTTTAGCAGCTTCGCAATATCTGTTTCTAAACTCGACATCACCTTGCTACCCAAAAATGGGATTTTACGAGCAGATCAAATGTGCGTTGATCGTGTGACAGCGAGCAGTGTCACACGATTTATTAATCCAACCGCTGCGCTGGTGCCTAGTTTAGGCTTTTCACTGCACTATATGAGGGATGTATTCCTTACATTTCAATGTGGATTACTTTGGTTATTGTTGAACAGACAGCCGACGCATCAGAGCTAGCGAAAGTAACATCTTTCCAAGGAAAGTTAGAGAAAAGATAACAATTCTTCCCAATCAACGTGACCATAGTGCCAAATTCTACAAGGAAATCACGTTTCTGTTACCATAGAGGACTATGATTGGAACATGACTACAACACAAGTTATCTAAGGGAATGGGATTCGTGGTCAGGCAGAGATCCGGCAGACGTGCGGCGAATCACGAGGTTGGAAGATGGATCAACCCTTATCTTTAACAGCATCGATTTTGTTCGAGCCCAACCATATTTCATTGTGAACATTCAAATCTCCAACGAGTATTATCACAGGAAATGTATGATCGCTCGTCCAGAGGACAATTTCAGAGAGATAATCAAATAGGCCTGCTCAATTCTAGTCTAAGGGTAAAAACATCATCTTACCCAGATGCTTACCAATATCATCATCATCGTTACTAGAACCGCCACTTAATCCAACTGGAAGCTGTCAATTTCACTAGCAATGGCATGACAACTGAATTAATCCACTATTTTATCACCCTAAGGCTGAACGACAGAGGCATCAGACTTTGAGAGATGCCTTAGAATTGAGGCAAAGCCACAAAATCAAGCCGGATCCTAAAGTTAACTCTGTAGCTGAAAAGGCTCCGCTTCAACAAAATTCGCAACTGCTCCAGTTAGTAAGCATCAATGACTTGCAGTGGATAAAGGGGTACATTCAATCGATTAATCAAGCAATGAGGTAAATTGGTTATCTATTTTTTGATGTTCACTACTAGACCCTCATTTCATATTAAAGACCACATACGTACCTTAACAAATCCGTTAGTGTTCTCGTTAAGCTGCCTTCGCTGTTCCATCTCTGCTTTCCTGAGCAGATCTCCATGGTACGCGACATTACTGATGATCTTCGTGTTCTGCTTTATCCGTAGCGTCTCCGGATCGTCGGCCACCTGTGTGAACTTGCCTTTACTCTTCTCGAAATCTGCGTGATACTTTACGTTCGACTGTATCTTCGTGTTCTCGGCGATCCGCTTCAACTCAGGAGTTTCAGCCATTGTCGTTGCCTTCGCCTTTGGTATATGACTAAAAAAGACAGAAAAGAAAAGATGAAGAATTTTCCGTTCAAAAACAAAGTAGGTAAATCAAGAAATGTGTATCTTCATCTTAAAATCAGATAAACTACAGACGCTCTCTGCAGATATGTAACAAGATTCACAAATAACAATCTAAAAAAAAACGACTCAAACGCATCAATGATGTCAAAAGCTTACAAAAGCAATCTTTTACATCATGCTGTTATTTCTTTCATTACAGACCGAAAAATAAGCGAGTATATCTAACTAGTCGAAATACGACTAATAAATAGACGCGGAATTAATATTCACTATATTAAGTGTTAGGGTGTTATCCCTTTAGCCATTTGGCGGGTGTCCCAGAAGTCGACGTCAAGCCGGAAACGGGGGAAAGGTCAAGTCATAATATTTATCCGAAAAATATAAAAAATTAAGTCGTGTACTTTTCATACTAAAGGATTTTTTTTTGATGGAGAGCGGTGAGTTTATTATATAATCGAAAATTTAGCTGAGCTAGGGGTCAGAATAACGGAAGCAGCTGAATTTGTTAATAACGGAAGAGTCGTCCGTCTGATAACCAGATCATTTTTAAGATGACAAGCTTGCATTGTTGCTGAAGGAAGGCAGTTAGCACATTTATTGTGAATTTAATACATTCACGAATTAATAAAAATCGCTTTACTAAATGCAAACTAAAAGATCATCACAGGGTGTAGATTTTTCCAAGTTTTTCGGTTTTTTTTTCAAAGCCTATAATTTGAAAAGTACACGACGATTTTTTTTATATTTCTCTATCAGTACTTTGCTATCCCCCGTTTCCGGCACGGGTCACCCTGTTCCTGTATAAGCAAAGCAGTTACATGTTTTGCTGTCATTTAAATAGTTCATTGTTTCTAATTCTCATTATCTCATCTTAACTGGAGGTGTCGATAATGCTTTCTTTTGTTTCTTTCAACTATCAGAATCTTCACAACAAACATACATTTACATCAAGGATTTCAAAGAGATAGTTTTGTTCGCACTAAAATACCTAGAAATCGGTTGGTTGGCAAATATTTCAATTGTCCGATCCTGGCAGTAGTTTTCGTCTAATCTAGGTGCACTAAGGCCCGTATCGTCAGTCGTCCCTACAATTGTAGTGCGCGTTTATGGCCTCCTTGATTGTCATAGTTTTCTACTTCTCCGTGTCAGAGCTCTATTTTGAGGTTATGTCACAAACATCTATTTGCATCAAATTGTGCTTGCTTTCGAGTTATATCATGTTTTAACAGCCTGAAATTTCCTACAATTTAAGAGGAAAACATATCTTAACAATAGGTGAGCGCTGACGCTGACACGGGACGAGTGTAATCTAGAAATTTTTGAAGGAGAGAAAAGAGTATGACAATCAAGGAGGCTATAAACGCACCCTACAATTGTAGGGACGACTGACGATACGGGCCTAAAATCATATTTGACATTTGACTCATACATGATTAACATTAAAACGAAGTTTAAATCACGACTGCTTTGACTTACATATGGTTTGATAAAGAAAATGTATGTTAAAAAGAACTATCTTGCAAATAATAGATTTCCAACAATAGTTAAACTGATCAAATTCTACATAAAATGCTATAAAGTACTCAATGTCGGAGATTATTAACATGAAAGATATCAAATAGCACACTCGTCTTTACGGGTATTAAGATTAGACAAAACGCATTGAGAGTAAGATTACCTGTCACAGAGGCTTTGTAAATTAACCATCATAAACGTTACCAGGTTACCCCATAAGAAGTTTTCTTCGTAGATCAACATAAACTAGGACTCGTCAGAATTGAATCTGATCGTTGAGACCGAGACCACTTTATTCCATGCCGCTGTGCAAAGTTAACCCATGTTGTATTCAATTGAAATGGGAATTTAGTTAAAACCTTTTTAAATACTTTTTTATTAAACATCAACATCGACCCGTCCTTAGAAAAACCTTCATGTTTAAAACTTTTAAAAGCAAATAATCGAGAAGGCAACAACAAAAATTACATATCTCGTCTGTTTTGCCATTTCCGCAAGAGGTAGATCCAAGACAACATTCAAGTAGAGGCATTTATAAATTATTCAATGCAGGCGTTATAAAATTAATCATCGCGATTAATAAAGGATGCACTAGATTAAATAACATGGAATTCCTTTTAAAAAAAGATGCTGACTGTTTATCAACAAAACGGTTCATTGTGATTCACCGCATGCAACGTAAATGAAAGTATTTCCTGTGTAAAATAATACAACTCTTTCAAATTTGATGCAGATTCAACTACCCATTGATAGAGATACCTATTGTTCCATTCTAGAAGGCAGTAACAATGTGGTTATGTAACTGTTAAGTGCCTGATTTATTATCGAAATTGTGAATGTATCTATAAAGAAGAAAGTATAATATATTCGTGAACATAATTTTAATAATTATCCTAACACGGAGATAGTATTTTTCACGTCTAGTGATTACGTATTGGTATATCAATTAATTAAACAGCTACAAAAAGTCAGTTTCGCCTATATAATTCATAATTTGGTGTCAATTTCTTGCAAACATTTGACACTTGAATAGATTGGTGAACAATATCTAAATCATAATTTTTTGATTGATGCTTTCAAATATCCGGCGAGTAGTCACTACAGATCAAAAACTGGTGTATCTGATTCTCTAGACACTGTGCTGAACCGAATATTTAGAGGGGCAATCACCTGACTAGAGTCTGAACTTTAATTCGGGTCCCAATAAAACTCAGACACTCTGGTTGAGAAAGAATTGAAATAACTGTCGCCATTTTCCTCTGTTCACACCATTACTTATCTTATAAGGGACGGAAATTGAGATTGATTGGGTTTTGTGCCTTTTTTCACATAAACTTCGATGAAAGATTTTTTCAAAAATTAAAATCTCTCTGAAAATGGCCGTCGTTAAGATAGTTAGTCTCTAGACCAGGCTGCATACCATTTGGCAATCTAAAAGCAGATATTCGATACACAGAATAGAATAGAAGAACACTGGTCTGCATCAGGAGGTCAGATCAGGTAAAAAGTTTAAAAAGAAGTCGAGTGTGATAGTCGATACCGGTTGGCTCTGGGGTTGGCAAAAAGACAAACCAATGGTACAAAATTCGAAAATGAGGGTTCATTTCCCATCAGTACTGGATTTTATCTGTTTTTATATTCATTGATTTGCATCTTACAGATCAGCTAAAGTCTCTCACATTGAGCATTACATTACAAAGTTCGTGATTTGAGTCCACTTGGAATGCTCGGCTCAAAAGTGCTCCACATTTTTCTGCTGCAGTCTGTGACGAAAAGTCAGACCTGGAAGTAGCTAGTGCTGGGTTCATATTATTGGGATAGTGCAGCCTAATAAAAAAGAAAAAAAACAGATACGATGTAGCAAACAGATTTATTTAGAGGAATAGATGTAAATGGTGGTGCGACATTGATAGACATCTTAAAAAACCAAAAGCTGTTGCCACGCATCATGTTTCTTGATTTTGTTATAATATTCCGCATGTTGCGGATCACATAGTATGCTCTTAGTATGATATAAATCAATAAAAAATAAAGTTTTCTCCTGGGACCACTCTATTACTAACGTGTGTTCAGAGCTTTATCTGAACTAATAAAATAAGATTGCAGAGACTGTACTAACAGACAAACTAGTCGCCACCTGTACCGACTTTAATGTAACCATCAAGTTGAGCACGATTTGCTCGGCGTGAGCAGCTCTGTTCGGCGCTCGCTATAACGATTCAGTAACGAATTTTGTTACATTACATTACAGCACCTTAAAAAAGGGGCAACATTATGTTACATGCTAAAAATTCAACAATGCTTCTCAATGATAAGACAATCTGTATGAATTTTTGTAGAATAATAGTGCAACATACTTTAACTTGAGAGAGCATGGTCATAATTACTTTGTACATAAGCAAAATACTTGAACCAAGTGATGACATAAACCTAATAAGATGATGTCAAGCTTCAAACATAAGACGCGTTTTCGCGATAAATCCTCGGCATGTTTCAATTACATAAAAATGACATAACACAGATAAGGATTCCAAACAAGTCTATGTTTATTGAACATACACTTGCCTTAAAAATGTGAAGTGGTAAACAGATGTTAAATATGGACAGAGTTCTATAAAATATGTTTAATTTATTGCCAATTTACGAGCTTGTTTATTTCACGTTAATTCGCCAAAATATTCCTTAAGATAGCAATATGGTGGACTTCTGACAGCAAGCCAGCTGTATATGTGATTTTTTGGAAAACTGCTAATCTAATATTTCCATCATCATTGGTGTAGAAAAATCTAGTAAAATAAACTGATTACCGTTTATGATATTTCAAATATCAAATTCCACAAGTAAAATAGTTCTAAATGATCAATGTATTTTGTTATTATTTAATGATTTTGAATTGGATAGAATTTTGATTACTCTTACAACAACAACTTTGAATAATATTATTCCACAATTTTCAATGATCGGTTTGAAGAAATCAACATCTTTCAGCAGTGCCTTGAAATTTAAAAAAGAAACAATATAAGGTGAACAACATGCACCTGTTTGTGTTTGGTTATGGTTATAATAAAGATGCTCTTCAAGAATATGCTGATTAATTTGAATACTTACGCTTCACAATATGGCTCCTTGTTGAAGCCTTTATAGGTCCTCATATTGAGAGCCATACCACAATCCTTGCATTTGAAACATAGTTTGTGCCAAACCTGTAATAAGAACACAATGCGATAGACTATAATAGTTAATAGACACTATAGAGCTTACTTTTCTTAAATGCTGATCTCATGATTGAACAACATGAAATTGGGAACAACAGTTATAGAGGTTTTTTCATCATCATCAAACTTAAGTGACATGTTATACATGCTACAGGATAAGGTTTCATTATACAAAGCATTGGACTGTATGTAATAAAAAGAATGAACTAAACATGATGCTTTTGTCTATCTGTCCAAAAAGATGGCCAACAATGGACAGCTGTTTCATGCTTCTTAGCTACTCATCACCATGGTCTAGGATGGATTGGTCTCTTGTCTCTGGACAAATAAATGAAACCATCATAACTACCCTCTATACTGGAGGTACATTCTATCGAAATAATACAGTGCAAGGCAAAATCTATCACACCAGAATCAACCACTTTTAAATAAATAAAACTTTATATGTTTTGATCAAAGTATAAGTTATCATCAAGATTATGTTATATTACATGAATGTGACTATCAATAGTCAAAGATATTTAATAATTGCCTGCCCATGCAATGACAACATACACATTGTGGCAGTACCTCTCTTACTATGAATTCTGGGCTCTTCTTCACCACCTGAGCTGGAGCGAATTTCAAAACACCAATCATTTTATGAAAATATGTATAGATCGCAAATGGAAATTATGCTTATTCAATCAAATTATGATTTGATATTTGCTGAAACCTTTCTTTCTTTAAAACCTCTTTAAGGAGCGACAACTTAAAAGCAAATAGTCACGTGGACGTATAATGGTAAATCTTTAAATTATATGAGGTCCGGAGGTCCGGAAAAAAGATGTAATGAAAGGTACATCTAGTACCAAGCCAAAACCAAAAACTTGGTAATTTGGTCCTAAATGGGTGCTACATAATAATTGACATTTCTAAGCTAGTAAATATGAAAACTCTTAGTTTTACCATCACTCGAAATTCTCCTTCCAACAGCGTCACTCCACAGAGCACTTAATTGTAAATAATTGGCACGCCTGTTTTTCACAATTATTCTTCTTAATGCTCTTCGGTTGGCATTTGTGATATTACTTTTTTTAACATATCGTGGCTTAATATTAACTGAACCAGTTACGTTATATCTTCTAAGAATATTTCTCACACTGTACCGTGATAAGTCTAACAAAGTTACAATTTCTGAGTTTTTTCCCAGAATTAAAAAATTTAATCATCAGTAACCGAATTTTCTCATTAATAACCTTTCCTCTACCCATTTTGAAAACCTTAACTACCCAAAACTATTTTAAACATATTCTGACAGCTGTGATTAATAAAAACAATTGTCATGGCTTTTATTTTTCAAAGCCACCTATGCGTTATAGACTTATTTTGCATTGAAATGAAAATAGGTTGATATGCTGTAATTGCAACATGTGTTATGTTTATGCTGCAAATTTGATTAGGGAGTGATAAAGTTGCTGTTTTCTACTATATATTATCAAAATATTCATTGTTAATATTTTAAACTTATAACACCCTGCTACGTTTTTATTATTTGTGTTTCATAAAAAAAAACTAAGATTTCAATAGTTGGGCCAACTGAAGTGGGAAGGGGCTCGTATATGGCAGGGTCAGAAACTTGTTTTTTGTGTTTATACACATTTTCAGTATAGAGTCTCATGAAAATATGTTATATGTATATAGCATTACAAAGTGTATTCATATATTGTTATACCAGCTACATACATATATATGATAATGTAGTGAAAGTCAGGAATGGAGCATGTTAATTTCCAAGCATATTGTGCCTAAATCTTAATGGTTACCTTAATTTCATTGTTTGTTCCACCAGTTAAATTTTATATTATATTTATCTTGTCTATTTGCACAATTTATTTCATAGGATTGCTTGATTTTTTTGGCGGGACATTCAAATACCCAAATACCATAAATATATTCACAGTCTATGTACAAGCCCAATGCTGTAACTTAGAATGTCTAAAAGATATGTAATATTTTTTTCTGAAACTACCTATTGGAAGCTGTTTCTAAAATATGCATATACAATTCAACTTAAAGGGCATCCACGCTTCAAAATCTCAAATGAAGACTCAAATTGGTTGTGTCCATTAGGATAAATTATTCTGGATGATGGATCAAATAATATGTATTTGTGTTTTACTCTAAAAGGGTTGAGAAGGATTTGACTACAACATATGTAGGTCTATATTGCCTATCCTATAAAACAACAGCTTTGATGGCTTACACTGGGGGATGCAGAATTTAAGATTATGCATAAACAGATATGGGTAGTCTAGTTAAGACCAAAATGGGAAATAAATGGTTTTTGCATTAGAGTACTTATTATTGGTGTACTTTATCTGCTTTATGTTTTCACTACCCTATATAAATATTTCAACAAATATCAGTTAACAAGACTGGAAGCACAATAGTTATAGTCAGATCACTTAAATTAGCGTATTCTTCATTAGGGCAATTCGTATCACCTACATCTATGTAGCATATGTCCTATTCTATGAAAAGCATTGACATCATTTAAGGGAAGTGGTTTAATTTTTGTGACTCACTTCATCAGCCTTGACTGCAATATACAACACATTATTCAACATGTTAATGGGGCCATAAATAAATCGAAAATAATGAAGCCAATATTATGGAACCTATTAGACACGAAACAGACTCTTGTATTGTGATGAATACCATGAATTCTCTCACCTTATCCAAACATTTCAGCTCTTCAGTTGGATACACAGTCTTTTCACACCTTGCACACTGCTTGTTCATTTTGTATAAACTTATATTACATTAATTATCTAAGATAAATGCACGTTAAAAAAATTGCTTTATGCAACCAGTCACCCGTATTTTGCACTAAATTATTAATTAATTAACAAAATTTCAACCCAACCCACAACGAACTTCACTTTCGTTCTATTGTTGCCAGTTTTCGCGATCACGTGTCAAAAAGTCAAACTAAGGTAGGGAATCTGATCACCGCAAAACACACTATGTATTTTGAGCAGCCAGCGCCAATTTCAAATATTTCATGATCTTGAGCAACTAAAATCATTTTGGAAGGAGTGTAATAATGTTTGGACAATGTCTCAGTCTTGGACAAAGGAATTGAACTAAGCAAAGACGAAGCAGGTACATCGAAGTGGAAAAAACGTTCGCCAAAGCAAATGAACAGGTCTTATAGATTGGCAATGCTGCATTTCTAGACAGCTGACGGTGTCATTAATGTTATTACATCTTCAAAATTTTGACATTTCAAGATTTTTTGGGTCGTGTTTTGATTGTGCCTTTTTTTCTAAGGATAGAAAATACGTTTTTACTTACCAATGCTTTGATAAAGCGAAATAATTTTCAATGTTTTCGCTGTAGTTGAAGCCGGAAAATGAGGTAAAATTGATTTAGCTTAAAAAATTGTATTGTGGACATTTTCTGATTACTTCAACTAATAATAATAACTTGTCCATAGAAAGCTATGATTCCAATGTATTTTCAGTGAATCTCAGAGTCCAGTATCTGAAAAAATGGATATATCTGAAAACTCCAATACCTCTAGTCAAGAAAATGAAGATAATAGTCAAGTCCTGATACTTTCAGGCTCCACAAAAGAAGTGCTAGACAATGCTCCCAAAAATAATTTGCATGAAGATAATGATTCAAATAAAGAAAGCACTACCACAATGAATGCTACAAATTCTCATCCGTTGATGAAGTCACCTTCGCCACCTTTATCACCTGATTTTCCTGATCTGATACCAGAAAAACCAAAGGCAAAACATGCTAGCAATTTTTTCACACCTAATGCACATAGTTCCTACGTGGAAAATGAGACTATTAAATCCCAAGAAAATGTGGATTATGAGTTGGACTTGGAAAAATATAATGAAGAATATAGTAAATTCTCAGGTATGTGCAGTTTTTTAATATTTCATTTTTGCAGTTCTATAGTTCTTCAGCTGCTTTTTTCCGAATCAATGAATTGTAAAATTTTTCTATTGTACATTTTGAGGATTCATTTTGCTATTTTAACTTTACTCTTCAATCAATCCGTTTCCTAAAATCCGTATAGTTTTTTGTCGTTGTTGTATGCTATTAATAATACAATAAATGTATACTTTATTCTATTCATTGAGAAAAAGAAGTATACACAATGCAGTGTCCTTTCTATAAGTAGGCTATAGAATACTAATTAACTCTTTTAAATAATTCAAAGTAGTGGTAAATAAAAAAAAGGGTTTTACCAAATCAATGAAAAAAGCTGTGAGAACCAAATGGTAGTAGAATAAGAAGTAACTTGAATCTATACTTTATTAAATTTTATTGACACTGCTGGTCTATAAATGTCTGGGCAAGAAGTTTAAATGAGGTTTGAGTTGGGCTCATTTACTTTCAACAACCAGACTTCATAATAATGCAATTTTCTGAATTACAGCTGCTCAAAAGTATTGCAATTTTTGAGTTCCTAAAAGATTTCATATTCATATTTGATTGACATGCTATGACTCATATGATTTATTCCATTCTGTAATTTAATCTTGAGCAACTGAAAAGAAATGTGGGCTTGCCTTATTTTCTTGGTATTCTACCTAAATTCTAGATACATCCTACATGCATTGGTGAATGTGTTGTTTGTTTTTATATCTTGAGTAAAATGAGTAAATTTTGTTCTAGAGTTTCCCAGAAGTCCGTCCCTCTTGAGAAAAATAATGCAATATGAACCCACAGAAATGCTTCCTGATGTTTCGAGTGACACTGAAAATGACAAGTCTGCATATGAAGCACATTTGAGCTCTAACTTTCAGCATGCATCTCTCACACTGAATGCTAAAGAAGGTAACAATTTAAAAATTTAGCTGAAGACCATTACTAGGTATTGTTTTTATTTCAAAATTCCCAATTATGCTTAATCAGTATGATAAGAAGATATTGGTTGAATTCTACCCATATTTTTTAGTTGGAGAAGACTGCAATATCTTGGTACTCAACTCATGGCTAAAGTTGTTTGTTCATCAGTACTCACAAAAACTGAACATATCAATTGTCTGCCTATGTCAATTTTAATAAACACGTGAACAGTAAAAATTGTTGAATTGTCAGTGTATCTATTCTGACTGATATATTTTTATGGATTTTTCTCTTCAGGGAACTTGAACTTTTTGGCTCACAATAAAAGAAGCAATAAATTGAGAAGAGTTAAAGTACTGCCAAGGCAAAGCAGTGAGGATAGTGATGTTTCTTCTATTGAAAGTCATTCTGACAGCTTAAAGTCTGAGGATGTATTCAATGGAGAAAGTGAAAACACAGAAGGTATGTACAACAATAGAAAAAAAGTATGGGATGTGTTCCATATTTTATTTGAATTTGCCTCTACTTTTTTGCACAAGAAGCATTTAATATTTTCAACTACCTATTTTCTATCATATCAAAATCCATATCATTTTATATGCAAGCAAATATAAAAATGTTAAATAAATATGGTTTATGTCTGAGAAATTATTCATTCTTAATCACAAAGCTAACTAAATTCTTAATCACAAAGCTAACTAAACTATAACTGGATCTTAAGCAGGTGAATTGTGGAACTCATACAAGGTATATTTGCTAGTTGAGTAAGCAACTTATTTGCATGATTAGTAAAATCAATAGCCAGTCCCATTTTATTATTTAAATTTATAAAATCGAGGGAGCATTTAAATGTCATAAATTTTGTCTTATCAACATTGAAAGTCAAGTAATTGTTGACACACCATTTTTTGATTGATTATATATCACTATCAATTTTTGTGTTAATTTCATTTATATCTTTGTCTTTCCAAAGTATTGTGGGTATTGTCAGCAAAAACTACGAATTTACCATTTATGCTTAAGTTTAATAAATTGATGATACAAACTAAGAATGGGATCTGATCTAATACTGATCCTTGAGCATTTATATTTAATTTATTTAAAATATAATGTCTTGACAATTTCACAATTTGGGATCGAATAATTAAATATGTTTTAAACCAATTGAGTGAAGTTCCAGTACAACCATATTTGTTCATTTTTTTTAATATATATGGGTGACTTCGAAGTTGAGTCATTTATTTTAACAGTGAGTAGATCTGATCAAAAGAAATGTTTTTTTCCTTTACCATTTTTCTGGTAAAAAAGTAACAAAGTCATAGCCCTTTGGAAGTTTGAGTACCGTCCTGTCTCAATAATAATATTATGTGCTCGTGTTTGGCGACAACGGATATAATCCGCCTTATCGGTTCATCGCATCGGAATCAAAAAAGCGAAAGAATTTGGAACGATGTTTTTACAATTATTTCATTCAGTTGTATACAGTCAGTGTCAGTCGGTAGTGAATAGTGGTGTCTGTTGCGTGGCTCAAACGAAATAAAAAATAGCACATGTTTATGCGGATCGGTTTCCCAATCGAGTGCAACCAACCCCTCGTCCTTTGTTAATGTAGTACAACGGGTTCGTGAATCAGGTGACTTAAGACCTCACATATGGACGGCATGCCGGTGCTCCAAGACCTCACGATCAAATACAGGTCCGCACTGAAATACTTGTCGGGAGGATACTTTATAAAACAAGGTAATTTTTTTTTTATTTTTTTTTATTTTTACACACATATTTTGGTTTATCTTCCTTCTACAATCATTATCTGAAAATTAATGACTCAACTTCAAAGTCACCCTGTATATATATATATATATATATATGTATGTAACATATGTATGTATATATTTATATCATGATTTACACAGTCAAAAGCTTTCGAAAAGTCTCAAAAAAGAGCTATTAAAATTTATTTATCATTTAAATTTGAGTATAACTGTTATGTGAAAGTGGCATCCATGGTATTATTTTGTTTTTGAAATTCAAATTGGTTGTCACTTATAATTTTGTTGGTTTTTCGAAAGTTTCTTAATCTAATTTGGACTTTTTTTGTATTATTTTGCTATAACAGTAATTAAACTTATGGGTCTATAATTTTCTGGTAAATGACTTGGACCCCCCTTTATAGATAGGAATAACACTATTGATGTTTTCAAAAATTCTGGGTAAAAACCTGTGGTATGATAAATATTTATAAGTTTTGTTAGTGTATCAAGAGCATCAAGTGAAGAGCTATAATTTTTGATAGATCTGAATACTAATTGCAATTCATAAATGTCAGTAAAATAAAGAATAAAATTGTGATCTATGTTTATATGGTTTAGATTTGTTAGCGGATCATCAGTATTTTGTACAGTATTTTTAAGTTTTTCTACGACCCATGAACGTTAAATTGATGCGATACATATCAATTTTGCATTACATTGGTGAAGAATAAACTGGACACTATCGAAGAGCGACGTCAGGGCTTGCTGACGCGCGCTTGGGATAATACTTGATCAATACTAGCTAGCGTGCTATGAATAATAAAGCTCGCGTCAACTTTTTGTCTATACAGTTAGTAGTACGCGCGTTACAACGGGCGTTTTATCAATGGAATGTTCATGTGTCCTTAGCATAATGTGTGAAAAGTACCAAGCCTATCTACTAGACTATCTTTTCCAGAGCCTGCTAGTAGCCCAACAGAACCAATCGAACCCCTCTCAGCTGCCGAAGAGAGGCGACATGCACGTCACTGGCAGCGTGCAGTACTACCGGGAGGGGAACAACGTACTATCGACATGCGGGTATGTTCAAAAAATAAGAAGTGCTCCAATATCTTGAAAAATAATACTCCCCAATTCTATATCACAGGTTATAGAGCCTTACAAGAGGGTTCTTTCACATGGAGGGTACCTTCGAGCTGGGGGCCATACTGCAATTGTACTATTTTCTGCATGTTATCTTCCCGATAGATCCAGGGTTGATTATGATTATGTGATGGATAACCTCTTTTTGTAAGTGATTCGCTTATAAGAAGGATTATTTTTTATCACATTATCTTCTGATTTCAATTTTCAGATATGTATTGTGGACATTGGAAAGACTAGTAACAGATGATTATGTCCTAGTCTACTTACATGGTGGTGCCACAAAGCTACCTTCTTTTGGCTGGTTGAAGAGATGTTATCATATGGTTAGTCGAAAATTGAGGAAGAATCTCAGTCATCTTTACATTGTTCATCCTACATTGTGGATCAAAACAATGTTGTTTATGGCAAAACCATTTATAAGGTGAGTCACGTGCTACGAATATTACATATTTTTACCACTCGCCTAACTCCCGACAAACAATATCCATGATTTTTACGATTTTTTTTAAGAAATCAATAGCAAGAGTATACGAGTTTTATTTAAGCAGAATAAAAGTGTTAGTAGGCACATAGATTGGAAGCTGATCTTCAAGATTTATCAGGACTCAAAAAGTGGCGCATAAAAACAGTTACTGAGTATGCAACTATTGGCGAGTTATACACGTATGAACTTATTTGACAGACAAATCATGAGTTGCAACTTGTATAAGTCAAAATAGTGTAGTAATATGGGGCTCAATTGAGTACATTACTAATTATAGACACAGCATCTCAGTGACCTGGCTCCATTATTACATATCTGATATAATAAGCAATTCAAGAATCTACATCTACATATATAACTGATGTTTTGTATTTCTTGAGAAACGCGAGTAAAGCATTGCTCAAATCAGTCCTGGCTCAACTATTACTACAGGATGGCCAATATGTAACTGACTGGTTTGTATCTTGAATATTTGTGAAAGAAATAAAATACGTCCATTTTTTTCATCTTAATCTTTTATTGAAACTTAGAATTTATATATGAAAAATAATATCAGACAAATGTCCGCCTCTAGAAGCCGCGCAAAGCTGAGCCCTCTTGATTACATTTTCCATCACTTTTTGGTAGGTTTTGGGAGGAATATTTTCAATCGCTCCCGTAATATTGTTCTTCGGCTGCTCTACGGTATTTGGTATTGTTGGTATAAACATTATTTTTCAAAAATCCCCATAAAAAGTCAGGAGCCGTTAAATCCGGTGGCCAGTTGGCATCACCAAATCGAGAAATTACACGTCCCGGAAATATTGTTCGCAAAAATCCAGTGTTTCCCTAGCTGTGTGACAAGTTGCTCCGTCCTGCTGGAATACCATATGTTTTGCAGGTTAAATCATTGGATTTGAGGAGCCAGAAAGTTTTGCATTATATCACGGTAGCTCTCGCCAGTGACAGTAAGATAATTACCTGCAGCGTCACCAAAGAAGTAAGATTCAATGACCCCTCCATACCAAACACCGCACCTGTGACTCGACAAGGATGTAGTCGTCGTTGATGAATGACACGAGGGTTCTCTAATGCCCAGTTACGAACGACAATTCTGCTTATTAACAAATCCGTTCATATCGAAGTGGGCTTCATCGCTCATTATCAGTTGTCGGTAAAAATCGTTATTTTGGATTAAGCTGCAATATTCAATTTTCCGCACCAACTGACGAATGGTGTTGACACTGGGCACGTTATTTCGACCGAAATCTTATAGTAGCTTCCGAATCGTTGCAACAATCGACTCATTATTCAAGTAAAACGTTTTAAAAATACGGACGCATTGTAGGATCGTGTAGCGCTCCATGATGAATTAGACACATGTGCTTTAAACAACTACTACTGCGGCACCTACTAAAGTGCGTGTATCAAAAATGACGCGTAATTTGACTCAGTCACTCATATTTTGGCTACCCTGTATATCTGGTTCAGCAATAAATCTTGCCACAATACAAGTGGATGTTATCACAATTTTGTGAGTTTTCTTATGTATTTCTGCTATTTAGTCAAATTGACGCACGAATTTTGTTCCAGTTCCAAATTCTACAGGAAAATATCGTACATATCTACTCTGCGCGAGTTGACCGTACGAGTACCAATTGAAATAGCGGCCATTCCCGATAAAGTTAAAGCATTCGATAGTCTCCACGCGAAAGCGTAGTTATAAGAAGTTGCGCCAATATATAAATACCTCAGTCACATATAACAAATACATAGATAATAATCCATGAGTATATAACTGACCATCCTTTTGTTTCAAGTAGTACCCAATCACTATCATAAAATTGACAAATACCAGTTGATGATTATGATGATAATGATGCTGATGTTAGTGAGATAGTGGTTAGAAAAGAGAGAAAGAAAAGCGGGGAGAAACAAGCAGAAAAAAATTGGTTTTATGTCCCAAAATTATAGGACTTATTTTGATTTACGCAATGCACTTGTTAGTGATTGTACCTAAAGTTCTGCTTTTTTCAGTGACTGATTGTCTAATATTCATCTTGTATGTGTAGCCAAATTCCGTTGCTTAAACTTGATTTTGCTGTTCGACGTAACATATGGCGAAATTACTGTGTGGAATTTGATTTTCAATGCCTTGTGCGCTTCTGACATTATCTCCTTATGAGAGACACTAATGTATTTGATACAGTTTTTCTGTGGTAAGCGAGCTCCATCCTCTGAAACCTCAGACAAGGTGTAGCTACATTTTTTTTAGTATGGTAGCCTATGTTTTCAAATAATTAATTTTTATGAGCTGGCCATCTGGCCTTTTTAATATGTGATCAACAGTCTTTATAGCTTCATCTAACTAGATATTGGAATTGTCTTGATTGCGCATTGCATAATTTTAGACCATAAATGGTGGTCAGATTGTATACAACTTGTCAGCAACTAAACTTAAAGAATAATTTATGTATTTTTTGTCAACATATTACTTATAAAATACCATATATCTTTTAAAATGGACCTTAATGGACGCCTGCAGGAGGGCCAGGAGGCCGCCCCCCAACATCTGAGGATCCGGCTGCCCCTAAAATGCACATATTTATCACAGTTTTGTGTATCATATTGAATATTTTCAAGTTTTGACCAAACAGTTTCCTCTTGCCTGAGAAAAATTCCTGTAGGCACCCATGTGGACCTTGGTAGGTATTTTCAGAGCTGGCAAGTTTACATGGGAAAATCTTGATGTTATAACGTACTTAAACCGAATATAGATAACATCGAATTTTTTTAATATGCATTTATACCAACCCTTATTTAGATGCTACTTAGGTGGTGCATGTACGTATCGTAGATACTAATATGTGGTGCTTATTAGTTATGTAGTAGTATCAATAATGGTGTGTGGAACGAGTATTATCACATTGTCACCCTACATATCATTTATTCTTTTGAGACCATCAAATTGTGCCAGACAAATAACATTTATTTTCGTACCTGAATTTAAGCTTCATATACATCTCATTTTTGTGATCTGACTTATTTGGAAAAATGTTAAAAGCTGGAGCTTACTGTCTCTTAAAGATGTAGGTTTAACAAAACAATAAAACGTTATTTTGCTGTATTCCTACAATGCTTATAATCGGCATTAAAAAAATGTTTTCAAATACTTAGCATCTACCTTGATTATAAAATATGCATCATATGAAAGTAGCAATTGAAGAGTATGCCGGAACAACGTTCTAACCGCCAAAAGTTTAGTTTTGAGAAAAACGAAAAAACGCTTTTCTATGTTTTACTCCCAAATTATAAAAAGAAAACAGGCAGGCTATTTACTAATAGGTATTTTAATATATTTGAGAAACACAACATCTTTTTATAAACCATGTTTAACAAATTAAGAGCCTTAGAAAATAAATTCCCTAAAACAACGTTATATATACATGTCACTTACAACGTTTTTACACGGAAACGAGTCGTTTACAACCTTGTTTTACGCTTAATGGGTCAGAGTTTTTTTATTGAGATACAGTGAACCAACACAGTTGGTGCTACAAGAAACATGATACAAATGGTTAACATTTTGACAGTTTTAGACAACTTTCAGGTTTTCATAAAAATTAAAATACTTTAAGGGGATATAGTCACACATATCCATCAGGTTTGCCTTTTTTCTTTTTTGATCGAAAGTACTTCATTATATGCCTCTTTAAGGTCTCTTATCGCTACTTCTTGTACTAATTTCTTGCGTCCCTTCAACAAGTAAGTAAAGCATGGTTGAAGTGTGTCGTGGGACTTTCTTACTCGTAAAGTATTCACATCATCTGCGGTCATTTGTAACCACATTATTTGGGTGATTTTACATGAAAGATCTTTATATATAACATTTTCCGCTGCCTGAAAATCCTTAAAAAAAGATTGATGCATGAAGATCACTTTAAATGGATTGGATATCTTCGACTTAGCGACAACATCAGCCCACTGTAAAAGAACAGATACTTTATAATTTTTTTTTGTCGTTCTATGAGAACAAAGTCTCTATCACACGGCAAAATGCTATGCCCGCTCGTAAGAAATTTTAGTTCGACTTACGTAAAGAACTTTTCTAAAACTAGAAGTCGCAGCATTGTCAGCATCTTCCAGTTATTGTTCTGGCCCACGCACCTGTCTGACCATACAACTACGAGTAGTTTTCTTTCTTCACCTGGTTTGAGACTATTATACTTGTTAGTAATATAGAATAGTAGTGCTGAAGCAATCTCTATAGACCCCCGGTGTGCCATTGCTTCATGCCATAGTAACATTGTTGCATTTTCCTCCCCCATATTATGAACAGCATAGTTATATGTTGAGAATTGCCTTTGGTAGAATACAGATGAATGTGTTAAATTGGGATAAAAAAGCACTTTTTGCAGATCTGTGCACAACACAACATAATTGGGATTGAGTTTAGAGGTCTCGGTATCATCTTTTAATGTTTTATAACCCGCTTCAGCTTTTCTATGGTAAATCTCACTCTCGATTTCTATTTTTTTATTTTTATTAGCGTCATCATACGAACACAGATCTTGGTAGACCAAATCGCAGATTGAACTTGCTCTTGAAAATGTCGTGATAAACCCTCAAGGAAATATTATTTGCATCAGGGTATTTCTCCTTAAAAAGTCTGAACATTTTTGAGATATTTAGATCAGCTGGAAGGCATTGTTTGACGATTGAGATGTTTTCCACGTTGATCTTGAAGGTTATTCATGTTCGATTTAAGTTTACCAATACGCCACTGTTATCTTCTAGGCGTAATTGAGAATATACAACAAACTGTTCCTCTACATACTTGACTGCCATTAATACTGTACTTTACAGTGGATTGTCTACGAGATATCTTTCTCAACTCTACTATGTTTTGGTTCTTGGAGGGATATGATTTGCGACAGATATTGCGACTGACCATCATAATCAAGCTTCCTAAATTTCTGAAACAGTCTCACATAACTTCAACGAGCAAATCGGCGTTACATCCTCTGGGGGTTTGAGGACATTTGCAGACACGGTTCTAAAAAAATGCACACATTACACGATATCCTATACTGTCATGATGGTCACAGGCCCAAGCCATGAGTGAAAATGAGAAGAATATGTCGGTGGCCACCCTGCATATTGTGTATTAAACACGTTACACAAAAAACGGTCAATATTTTTTTTTCCACCATGAAAGATTGGATCATGTGCATCGTCTGTGGACACTTTTAACTGTTAATAAATCTTACCTCTGGCTTAACGTCGCTTTAGGTACGTTTCTCGATGAAATGTAAGCTTCTCCTGCATCCCTCTGATGTTTTCTTGCAGTCTGTTTCCAGGTGTCAATTGTTAGCTTTCGTTTTTTACCTCTGTTTATATGACTGATAATAGGCTCTGATAAACTAACGTTCATCTTGCAGAAACCACGTGGGCTGTGATAGTTTCAAAAACAAACTTACTGACACCTGTCAGCGCGTGCACATACAACGTTGTTACGTGGATATCAAGATTCGCTGAATCATTTAGACGTTTCTACACCGACTAAATTTGTGATTCTCAGCCTGAAAAAGGGGGAGGTTACGCGAATGGATACATAGATCCTTGTTTTATAGAAATCCCACTTTTGATCAAACTGTCGGTTAGAACGTTGTTCCGGCATACCCTTCAATTAATGAATTTCATGAATGATTTTGAGAATGATATTCTCACAGTACTTCACCCAAACATAGAGGAAAAATCTAATGGCGTTTTGTTGTTACCACTACTCTGATCACTACAGGTGGCAGTGAATAATAATATTTTGGCAATAATATGTATATTCAATCGATCAAACCCTATGAAAACTTATAATTTCATTAAGGAACATAAAAATGCATTTTTTAAGTGTATGTTACAATTAAAAAATATAGAATATCATAATAAAGTGATTTTCCGATCTATGGCTACTTGATAAAGTCATATAAATGTAAGCCAATAAAATCGTATAAATTATCCATTATCAACGTTTTAGGGTCGCTAATTGTTAAACAAAACAAAAATTATTAATAGATGCGATTATACTCTATTTCACGAGTATCCATCAGCAGGTGTTAGTCTGCAACATTGGCAATAATTAATCGGGTATTAATCTAGTAAAACTTGTTTGTGGCGTTTTATTTTTTTATGCAAATGAACTTTTCTAAATACAAGAGCTGTTAGCAAGTACAAAATGAATCTGTAGCATACCAAAAACCAAAACAAAATACGGCTCTATCTACCTGGCGTTGGCGGATCCGTCACAATTATGTCCTGTGTCGATATGGAGAATTTTCAAGTATTACTAGATAACCAGCTGTCATTCAACCGTGGTGAATACTCGTGAAAATATGGTATATGCAACCATCCTTGTCAGGTCGATTAATTGAATATATTTATTTGTTTATTGGTGTGGATAGTGTTGGGATGCAAATAGTTTCGATCTTCTTTGCAATTATTTTGCAAGAAGTAGTGAATAAACTAATATAAAACGGCTTTAATAGCATACAAATTGAATTGGTTTCAAACTAAAGTCTGTACTACTTCCTAGAATTCAGTTTTATTATTTGTTTATTCAAAGATTTATTTGTTGGGGTTAATCTGAATTATAGTACAAAGGACTAGAAAGGGTAAACATGTATTCTGAGTCTGTTTCGCCATCTTTGCTCTTTAGTTTTGTGAATGCAGCCATTATCAAACTCGAGTATCTTAGTAACACAGCTCTAATAGCACCTAGAAATTCAGTGCAAGATGGTGAAATACGTTCGAATGGCTTCAACTTTATGCTGTAAAACATTATATACTATGTTATTTACTAAACATGAACAGGTACTGGTGTTATAGAAAAATATATATTGGCTCTGTTGTGATGTCGAATCTGAATATCCACAGCAGCATTTAACAATCTGAGGAAACCTTTCAAACGGTTCATATCCAGATTTTAAAATACCCAGAATGCCGGCTTCATTTACCATATTCTTATATGCTAAAGTATTTTTTAGATTTAAGTTTATTTTATGTATATGAGAAATCGTTATTTAGTTCCTTTAAGGACTGTACAGAATGTGATGATGAATTTTTCTGAAGATTATGTTGTCAAACAATTTAATTGTGAAGTTTCACAGTCTCATATGCTGTATTTTGTGTTGATCGAAATATTTGATCGGGTACTCATTAAATGAATCTCAGAGATACATGTTTTAATCAAAATGCAATAATTTATGGAATATGTTGATTTTAAATCCCATTCCAAAATATTTATACATTCCTTTTTTACCGTTAATGTGAATATTAATATTTTAGTAGTAGCGTAGAGTGGATGTAAAAGATGAATATTTATATGGGCAGTATTATTTTTCGTTGAATACATTATGCTTTTTTATAAGTTGAAGTTTTATTGCTCTACAAATCCTACTTTCTAGGTATTTCGTGTATAAACATATTTGCGGGGATAAAATGAAACATTTTTAGGATGTTCCCTGTTTGTACAAGTAATGGTGATTAAATATATCGCAGTTGTTGGTTGTTATACAACAGACGGTACTTTTTATTAGATATTCTATCATTGTATTACTGGTTAAAAAGTAAGACGGGTCTGACAAGAAAAAGAGGGAAGGAGATAATCTTATAGACCAAATTTGAAATTACTCGACTGTTATTGTATGATCTAAGTTTAATTTTGATCTGGACTTCATTGAAATGTTTAAGTTTTGATTTACGATTGAATTTTTGTTTACACCTTGAGCTGTAACCTTAAGTGTTTGTGACCTTGTTCAGTTTTTTAGGTTGCAATTACCCAAGGCAGTACTTGCGTTTAGTCACAATGTATTCTTATATACATATCTTGACACCATATTTTTTAGAAGTTTGAGTAAAGGCGACCTTTTGAGTTCCTGAGATAATCCGTTTTGTGGAAAATTTAGTATTTCCATTTATTATTTCATAGCACTGATCATATGAACATTGGAGAAGGCAGCAAAATTTATGGAAATTTCACTATCTAGCTTTCGAAGTATTTGGTTCCACACCTGCTAAATAATATGGACACATGCGGTCCGCCCCAGCGCTCCGGCAGTATGAGGGCCCCTAAATGGCCGAAAATCAAACGAAATGAAAAAAAATGCGTGCAGTGGTCCATTCATAGTTTAAGACGGCCTTGGAGCATTAACGCATTACTGCAAAATTGATGAGTTCTCCTCTATTTACTTTTTGAAACATTCAGCTGGAAAGCCGATAATTCAAAATTTTCATTGTGATACCTTTTCTGCAAACGGTTCCATGATTGGAGCTTTCCAGTATACATCTTTTTTTTACTTATATAGATGCGTTGCGGGACAACGTAAGGGCCAACGTGTTGTCACCTGATTCTCCGATTATATACAGAAAAATATCAATGGCCGATGGGCTGATAAGACGAATATATCGACATTTGCAATGTCGCCCCGATAGCGTTATATATTTAAAAAAAATGTTTTTTAAATATTTGTAGCGACAGATTTTTTAATATTTTTGAATATATCTCTTATATATTCATAAAATATTCATTATAGATATTTATAGTTATATAATCGATATATTTTTGAGATATTTTTTCCAAATATTTAGAAGATATATGAGGAAAGATTCTTAAATATCTATTTTATATTTCGATGAAATAACCAATATTTTTCGTAAATATGTATGGACTTTCAAGCATTAATCTGATACATATTTTCAGTGTATTCTTCATTGGTTATTTTAGCAAAATCTGTAGGAATGCTTTTATAAAATTGGGTTTATAAAGAAAAGTCATTCTAGATATAATGGTTTAATTTGCTAGAAAAATGTCATTAAAAACACTCTAAGCCTCTTCTGCATCTTGCAAATCCACTCCTGTGAAAAAAAAATTTACCAATTATGAAGTATTATTGAATCATAAGCTGCTTTCCAGTGGTATTTTGTTTGAGAGAGATATTCTCCCAAACTATCCTAGAAAGTGTAATTATAGGTATATAAAATGCAGTAGAACAATATTGGTGCTGAGCACTGCTCAGTTACTCCGAGTAACTGGGTCACGGGAAAACAGCTCTATAATGCACCTAAAAGGACCCCACATTTTCTTCATATGAGAGTTCGAGATTTGGTTAATTGTTAAGAAAATTTGATATGATATTTTACATTCTTGGTGAAAAATATCCTTGGGCACAACTCGATCCTTTGACTAACTTTCAAAGTAAAGGTTTTAAAAAATAGACGACTTATTGATTTTGTTGAAGAGTGACTTTTTTGTAGTAGTAAGGGGGCTAATTTAGCTATAACTATTTTGTGATTTTATATTATAATTCAAGGGACAAAAATATAGTATTATCGACTGTTAAAATTTTGGAACATCGCTGTTGAACTTAGAGATTTTAAAATAGTTACAGCTGATTGGCTCCCTACTACGACAAAAATAATAATAATTGAGATATTTAAAAACGCATTTTTGGTGTAGTATCTCGATCAAGTTGCGATTATATGACTTTTCATTGGGATGTTATGAATCTAATTTTCGTATCCATTTTCAGATAAATCTACCAATCCCAAATAACTGTTACACTTCAAGGCTAGTTATTTATCGTGTTGTAAATACTCAAATGCCACAATAATATTTACTAGTCAGATAAATTAGGCTATGTAATTATCGAAAAACTTACCCTCCCTTTTCCACAAAAAACACTCAAATAATGTTCCACTTGAAGGTACACAGGAAGCAGGCTATCAAAGTGAAACTCACAGGCAAAATGGATGCCGGCAAGGTCGGCTCAGGTCAGCTTGCCATTTTGTCATTGGCAACACTTGAGCTCTCACGCACATGCGCCGTAGCCGTAGTAATGAATATTTTCTAAATAATTAAGATTTAATATTTTCCATTGATTGAAAAGTAAATATTTAATGCATATTATAAAAGAAATATTGTATTTAAAATATTTAAAAGATATTGAATAAATATTTTATAAAAATATTATATTCCAAATACTTATTAAATATTTGTTTAAGATAACAAATATTTAAGTAAGAAAAAATATTAAATATTGAATGAATATTTGATGAGTATTTCGTGCTATCGGGGCGGTATCGGCTGAATGTCGGTGTAGAGAAAAAACCTTTTTAGGTCGACCTCTACCCTAAATCAAATCAATAGGCTACTTGACTCCCATCTAATTTCATAGATTAAATGAGTATTGCTTACACTATATCCATTTCAGTTTTCAAAAGCGTAAGGTGGATATATAAGTCCAGTTTTAAAAAAAATATATGTTATTTTTAAATACGAAACGGTGGAAGCACTATCGGCCAAGATGTGACATCATACAAATTATAAAAAAAGAAACGCCATCCGTATATCACTTGTGGACTAACGTTGTCTTCTTTGAATATATCTAAAAAAACTCTTATTTAACTTAAAAATTGTCGTTTTATCGTTTTATTGACAAAAGCAATCATGGACGTTGGATTCATATTTAAGTGTCAAAGTACTAGTTCTGAACAATATAAAATATTTTACCAGCAAAAAGATCTGCATATTTTTGGAAAAATATAAAAATGCACCAAACACTCTAATAAATACTATTTCAAGGAAAATAATACAATATCTATAGCAACACAATTTATTTTTGGCCCTTCAAGAATTCATAGACAACAGCAAAATCTTTATCACTAAATCCGTTGGCAATCAAAGTCCTGTACAACTGATGCGAGATGGCGCCCAGAGGTAGAGGAGCTCCCACACTTAAAGCAGCGCTTTCAGCTAATGCTAAATCCTTGGCTATCAAGGGCACACCAAATCCCCCTTTGTAATGGTTGGACGATGGAACATTTGGCATCACTCCAGGTACAGGGTTGTATGTATCAGAAGACCATGACCTGCCTGTTGAGACGTTGATGATGTTGGTGAGGAGTTTGGGGTCCATACCCAGCTTAACACCCATGTTTAGCGATTCGCAGGTTCCGATCATGGTTATAGCTGAAGAAATATTATATTCAATGCAAACTCAAACAAATTGGGACATTAAAGGATATTGCAGGATCTTATTGGAAAGATGATTTGTGTCAAAGATTTTGACGCCCACCGATTCCTACTGTAAGCCCTCATAATCACAAAAAAATAATGAGTTATCATCATCAAGAGCATCAAATCTAGAAAGAATAGGACCAAAAATATCAGGTAACTAAATAAGTTCATGCGGTTTTTAGTAGAAAAATATAATTTTTTATTGAGAAACAATAAGACACGATTTATTCGTCGAAGTAATTACCATCACATTCAATGACCTTTTGCCAACGTGGAACTAATTTTTGTATGCCGGTGTTGTAGAACTACCTGGATTTGGAGTCCAAAAATTGGCGGACTGCTTTTATTATACCATCTCGAGTTGTGAACTGTCGGTGCCTCGTACAGTTGTTAAGAGACAAAAAAGGTGATAATCACTGGGCGAAATGTCGGAAGAATATGGCGGGTGCAGTAACGTTTCCCAGCTGAGTTCAGAAATTTTTCTCGGGTCACTTTTGCGGTATGAGGCTTGGCGTTATCCTGCAAGAATATCACTTTCTTCCGATTGATCAAAGAAGACTGTTTCTGGATGAGTGCTGCTTGTACTCGTTGAAGCTGCTGATAATACAAGTTAGCAGTGATGGTTTGACTACTTTTCAAAAACTCAATTGACAATTCCAGTTGCTGTCCACCAAACTGGGCGTGTGTGGTACCGAATCAGTAGGCGACAACCAATGATACGAACGCTTAGAATTCGAATACAAGATCCATTTTTTGTCGCATGTTAATAACCGATTAAGAAATGCTTCATTAGCGTTGCGTAAAATGTTTGCTGAACAAATGGTAAGACGACTTAATTTGTTATCATTTGCTTAACTTCCACGTGTTTCCTAGCTGATGAAGATGCAAACGAATAGTTTCAGGACTCACCCTGAACATTTCTGCAAGTTCTTGCCACGTTGTCCTGGAATTTGCGTCCACAACCTGTCGAAGATCCTCGTTGTTCATGATTTTTTGTCTCCCTGAGCGCGGTTCATCGCTCAAACTGAGATCTCCCGAAGAAAATTTTTTGAACCACTTCTGTGCTGTTCGATCACTAACCGCATCATCTCCGAATGCGGTACATATTTTTCGCGCCGCCGCTGCAGCTTTTGTACCAAGTTTGTACTCAAATAGTAAATAACTTCGAATTACTGTTTTATTCGTCGCCATTTTCAATTATTAAAACTAGGTATGTAACAATTTTCAGCAACTTTTTATGTGTGTGAGAAAAGAATGATTCATACTAAAGTGACAACATGTAACAAACTATCGCTATCGATCAACAACATCCATGGCAATGTGCGATATACAGCAACAGCACGAACTTATTTGGTTACCTGATAAAATAGAGTGGAACATAAATTCACATATTCGGAATATACAGAGTGTTTCAGAAAAACGTGGAAATATTTCTAGGGTATAAAAGATGAGAATCAAATCTGAAAATGTCCTATTACCAAGACACAGGATGTTGTAGCGTAGCTTTCTACGCCACCGATGAGGCTGAATGAGGACAAAACAAGATCATTGTCCCAATACCACTATGGCGTGTTACGATTAGTCTCCCGGTACACTATACAATTTCCAATACCAAATGTCATTACTTCAGCGTATTTTCAAAGAATTTTGCCGTTTGGAGATTATTCCAAAAACGGTTTCGTTTTGAAGATACACATGAGGAGATTCCTCCTTCAAAAACTGACATAGACTACCGCCCACGGGTGCCCACAGAGGGAGACTGAGGGAGACGTGGCATCCCTGAGAATCCAGTTGGACTAAAATTTGCATATTTAGCAGGATTTTGCGTAAATTTCCTAGGATCGCCCTCTGGAAAAATTTTGCTATCCCTCGCTATTCAAAAAGTTTTGGATACATACATACCCATGCGCCAAAATTTATATCTCCTTCTGAGGCAATACGGATAAGAAAGTGATAAATTTTGACAACTAACTTGGTTAGAATGATTTTTAAGTAACAGTGAAAATACTTTTCAATAACGTATATCCATTAAAATCTCACAAAATTGCTTTCAAAAGTGGAGAGGAGTAGATAAGATTTATACTGATAAAATTTCCTTCATTATGAATTCAGGATTGTAAGATTCATGGATTTTGACGGATAGTTATTTTCCTCTAAACTGCTGTACATTAGAAAAGGTGAGGTGTAGCAATGTTTACTCCAGACTTGTGAATCGAAAAAACTTATGGACACGATATCCTCTCAATGAAACACTCACCTAATATAAGATTGTTACAAAGTTTCGCGATCTGTCCAGTACCGGTTCCTCCACATTTGAAGACATTTTTTCCCATTTTAAGTAGGATGGGCTTTACTTCTTCAGCATCTCCATCCTCTCCTCCCACCATGAAAGTTAAAGTACCAGCTTCTGCCCCTGTCACGCCTCCTGATACAGGGGCGTCTAGAAATCTGGAAAAATTATTCACGTCTTAAATTTCATAATATCAACTATTCTATGGCTGGCTTATATTTTTTACATTTCAACCGTAAAGAAATTGTGATGCTGGTGGAAGTACTACTTTGAATATATTGTTTACTTTGATTAAGCGTCTGTTTTTAAAATGTGTGATTGAGGAGGTGCTCCCAATTTTTCATTGGTTGAAGAGACACGTGATGAAAATCATTAAAAAATTGAAGCCAATCGACTGGACCTGACGATATAACACCTTATACATATACGTACAAGAGCTTATCTAAATACCTTGTCAATCACATGTGTGTCATGAACTGTCGATCAATCAATCAAGTTCTTAGCGAAACTTTTTCAAATTACATTATTTGAAGGTTGCTTCATGCCTGATCGGTCGACTGTAACTAACTTATGTATTTTCTCTCAACAAGCTATTTGTTTTATATGGTCATGTGTGTGAATGTCTGTGTATATTAATAACACCAAAACGAGATTTCAACTCTTGTGGGAAGGAAACCGCTCAGGAAAGCAGATCCATATTGACCCTTGCAGTATGCGACAAGTGCTTAAACCACGTCTGCGAGTTGAACGCAGAATTTCGTCTAAGCACGAATATAAATTAATGCACCGAAATGCATCACTTATCGTTACCTCTGCATTTTCAAAGGAAATTGACTGAAAACCAGGTTTGACACCCATTGACGTTTTCCCGTGCGCCATCCCAAGACCAGGCTTACGCCAATAGTCCGAATAATATCCTTTACTTGAAAGAAATTGTCAGTCATGAAACAAGGCAAATTTATAATAATAATAATAAAAATAATGATGAATGGCCTTACCCAGCTTTACAAAATAACAGACTTAATAGAAAGAACAAGAAAGTGACGAAAAGGTGGAGTGTCAGCTTACGCTGTTTTTCAACCCGACCTAAAGGCATAGACATGATTGATAAGAAAAAGAAGTATACAAATTTAAGATAGCACAGTTCACAACATCGATCAAAAAATAAAAGCATAAAATATTACACTTCAGAGTGCTTAGCAATCCAATTCCCTTAAAGTCATCTTTAACCTTTTTTTAAAGTTGCATAGGCTGAATTCATCCTTTCTACTCATTTGACAAGTAGTTGTATAGTTTGAGTGCCCAGTACGAGAAACTACGTGTGAATAATGCAGTTTCCTTAATTTGTTCATCTTAATCCGTCCCGATTGTCCAAAAGCGCCACTAGTATGATCAAATTTACGGATTCCGTTAGGAAATCTAATGCATGAGTTTTGTATCATCTCGGCTTCACGAAGTAGGAGAGTAGGGGCTTGATTCCAAATGAATTTCGACCGTTGACATTGATTTCGATGGCGTCTTGTGACGATATACTTGATTTGCTATGATAATTTTGACATCTGATTGCATTGATCATCTATATTCAAATTATCATGGCAGTGTCAAAAAAACGGTCGAAACTCATTTATAATCAAGCCCCATGTCCATAAACAGAGTGACTGTAAGACAATTTTGGCAGGATTAGGGATTCGCGGAGTTTAAGCTTGAGCTGTGTTGACAGGACACTTCAACTCGGGTATAACTGACGAAGCACATTACCGGACGCACTGCATTGTTGGTTAACATGTTCAGTGCAGCGTAGATTACAGTCCAACCAGTTACCAAGATTTTTGCATTCTATTAAAAAGTATGTCTTCATTGTTCATCATAAAATTAATGCGATCTTGATTTAATTCAGGATTCTTTTGGGCCCAAAAAAAGTGCAGCAAGATGTTCCAGCATTCAGTTTTAGATTGTATGCACAAGATGCGTCAAACATATAATGCAGACCTTGATTTATTTGATGTTATCTAAGCATGTACTCATCAAGTTCGAACCTGTTATAAAGTTGTGATTCATCTGCGTAACGATGAACGACTCAGTAGTTGGAGGTTTCATAAAAATCACATATACAAGGAGCAAATAAAATTGAAGCTACAATACTTTAGCGAGTTACGCCAAATGCTCTGAACAGATGACGTAATCTTAAAGAAAATAATATGGCGAACTCGACGCACTGTGAGTTGGGCTTAGGGAAACGAGGAACACCACAACGCTGTTTCAGGGGGCCAAGTTGGAGAAAACTTGTATTTGAGAATTATGATGCTTCCGTCACCCGATTTGCCTTCAAATCTTGGAGGTTCAAAACAACATTTCCTTTTCGTTACCCAAGGCTGCAGGCGAAGGAAACTCGGAATAGGCAATTTGGTTGACTGATTCCGAACATGGCCTTTAAAAAATGCTAAGGTGTGCGGAGTATACTATTTACAGTAAGAAAATGGGAAACAGTATAATGTATTCTTGCCCTCCCAAACAAAAGTGTCCATGGGACCAAAGAAATCCTATTCTTAGTTTCTGAGTAATAAGCAAATAGAATTGGCCTGATTTATGAAAAATGGTGAATGTTCTGAAAGAAAAGCTACCTGTCCCATTGAGTTTTCTGAATTCTCGATCAACTTGTACTGATCTATTCCAGCATAAACATATGAAAATTAACTTACCTTGAAAGTAACCTTGTAAGGAAACTGACCTTGTAAGGATCATGGTCACGATCAACACGACACGTCCCAACACCTTCCTACAAGGTGTTTTAACGAAATATTTCTTTTAGTATACTGATCATTTATCAGAGTTGTTTGTCTGAGAACTACAATCGATACATTCACCATTTTTGCAAATCACTGAAACTTTATCCGCCTATTTCTGAGAAACTATCCATAGGATTGATTTGGTTTGATGGACAACTTTGTTCAGAAAGGCAAGAAATATATCATACTGATTTTTTAGACAAATCGTCTGGGATCCATTTTTCATATGTTTTGTGTCTGCTCCTTTGTATTTTGAGATTCATGATGCTCAAACATCCACCCTCTCCTCCGTCTCTCCCCCATCGCTCTTCAATGTCCTTCAGACGATTTCGCTGTCACGGGATCCCATCAAACGTATCTACGGGCCGCTTAAAAGTTATATATACAGGGTGACTTTGAAGTTGAGTCATTAATTTTCAGATAATGATTGTAGAAGGAAGATAAACCAAAATATGTGTGTAAAAATTAAAAAAAATGTTACCTTGTTTTATAAAATATCCTCCCGACAAGTATTTCAGTGCGGACCTGTATTTGATCGTGCGGTCTTGGAGCACATACCCTCCCGTGTGAGGACTTAAGTCACCTGATTCACGAGCCCTTTGTACTACATTAACAAAGGCACTATGGGTTGGTTGCACTCGATTGGGAAACCGATCCGCATAAATCCGTGTTGCTGTAGCAGCATTTTGTAAAATCAGAATCATGTCCACAAGTTCAGCATTTTCGTAAACATGTGCCATTTTTTATTTCGTTTGAGCCACGCAAAAACACCACTCACGCGTTACCGACTGACACATCGAATGAATACAACTGAATAAAATAAATGAATAAAACATCGTGATAAGCGTTTCAAATTCTTTCGCTTTTTTGTTTCCGATTATATCCGTTGTTGCCAAACACGAGCACATATTATTATTGAGACAGGGCGGTACTCAAACTTCTAAAGTGCTATAACTTTGTTACTTTAATTTTACCACAAAAATGTTAAAGGAAAAAAACATTTCTTTTGATCAGATCTACTCACTGTTAAAATAAATGACTCAACTTCGAAGTCACCCTGTATATATATATATATATAACTTGAGACGTGGTCATTGTCGTCTAGACCAGTTAGGTGAAAAATTAAAGCTTCCGCCTTTTGTTGGGTACTTCGACAAAATTTAAGCAAAGAGGACTCTATACTTTTTTTAATTCTCTCTAGCTTTCAATGGACTTTGCCATCATCATCAGGAGCTGCAATTACAATGATAACAGTAGCAACAAAAGTGTAAAATGAATTTAAATTGACTCAACTTACAGTAGTATGTGAGGATGTTGCTAATTGTTGTTTACGTATAGGATGAGGGAAACGTCCAGTAACATGGTGAGAGCTGGATACATGGTACAATGTTCAAAATTATATAAAATATGACAAGACAAGTTAAAAACAGATTAAAAATTATTTAAAAAACATTAGAGCATTACGTCGTGAAGCCACTTGATGATTGCACAAAATGGTGGACATGGAATAATGAGTGAGATGAACCTTTGACAGAAGGCCGAAGGTTGTCAATGTCTGTGTTGAAAGATGGAACGAATTGTGGGCGTGTGCCAAAACGTTGCCAAATCACTTCAGATGATGTGATTTTCAGAATGTTATGTAAGAAATTGTTAAACCGACCAGAGGCAGTTGAATAAACTATATTTTAATTAATGGGAATTTTAAATTAACAATTATTAATAAATCGTGAGAAGAGAATTATTATTTTCAGTGGAACGAAATTTGTTGGTGGAATCGGCCAAAACACAGATTATATTTATGGTTGTGAAAAGTCGAAATTTGGAGAGATATGTAAGTTCTCCAATTTTTCGCAGTTTAGCAAATATGAGTAAATGACACTCAGTTGTTTAACATCTGTCTTTTTGTTGATACAGTTGTTATTCATGAAAATGTGGGACATTTCCAGGAATAAACGTTTGGAAAGGTGTTTTTCTTTATCAAGAACTTTGATACTAGTGTAATTCATAGAATGCCCTGTTGTGTTAGCATGAGATGCTAGAGCGCATCTTTCAGGATGAAGCCTAGCATCACTTTTGTGTGATGTAATCCTTCCTTTAAGAGATCTGGAGGTCTGACCTATGTATATTTGGTTGCAGTTGAAAGACAAAGTCCCGCTGCTTGGCTTAACCAACACAGTCTACTCCATCAATTGCAACAACTGCAACCAAATATACATAGGTCAGACCTCCAGATCTCTTAAAGGAAGGATTATATCACACAAAAGTGATGCTAGGCTTCATCTCACGATTCATTAATAATTGTTAATTTAAAATTCCCATTAATTAAAATATAGTTTATTCAACTGCCTCTGGCCGGTTTAACAATTTCTTAGATAACATTCTGAAAATCACATCATCTGAAGTGATTTGGCAACGTTTTGGCACACGCCCACAATTCGTTCCATCTTTCAACACAGACATTGACAACCTTCGGCCTTCTGTCAAAGGTTCATCTCACATCTCACTCATTATTCCATGACCACCATTTTGTGCAATCATCAAGTGGCTTCACGACGTAATGCTCTAATGTTTTTTAAATAATTTTTAATCTGTTTTTAACTTGTCTTGCCATATTTTATATAATTTTGAACATTGTACCATGTATCCAGCTCTCACCATGTTACTGGACGTTTCCCTCATCCTATACGTAAACAACAATTAGCAACATCCTCACATACTACTGTAAGTTGAGTCAATTTAAATTCATTTTACACTTTTGTTGCTACTGTTATCATTGTAATTGCAGCTCCTGATGATGATGGCAAAGTCCATTGAAAGCTAGAGAGAATTAAAAAAGTATAAAGAGTCCTCTTTGCTTAAATTTTGTCGAAGTACCCAACAAAAGGCGGAAGCTTTAATTTTTCATCTATATATATATATATATATATATATATATATATATATATATATATATATATATATATATACTTGATACAATTATGACTTATTAATATCCTACCTGAATCCATTTTCCTTTGCAATCTTTCCCAATTCCTGTGACTGCTGAGGCTCAATTGTAGACGAATCGATGAACAAAGCGTTTTTCTTGATCCCTTTCATGATGCCCTTCTCACCAAGCAACGTATCTTTAACAATATGACCATTGGGGAGCATCGTAAAGACGAAAGCGGCATCTTTGGCTGCCTCCTCTGGTGAGTTGCATATCGTTACACCTTGAACACTTGATGCTGCTTGAGGTACTGAATCAAATACTTTCACTTTCTCGCCTTTGCTGATGAGGTTTTTCACCATTCGAGCGCCCATTTGACCAACGCCGATGAATGCCACGTTGCTGGCATTTCGATCTGGAAGAAAGTAAGTAATAATAAATCGCCTTTATTAGAAGGCGAAGTTTAGCATAATGCTACTCTGCTCATATGTGATATAATCTATGCTGAGTGACAAAAAAGGTAAACAACTACGTATGTTTATTAGAATTACTAATATTATTCACATGAGGTATGAAATTTAAACGTTCATCTAAAGTTAAGCCCAATTGTGAGAAAAATTACCACTCCAGGTGCAATACGGACAAAGGGCTCCTCAGGTGAAAATTTTCAGAAGTTTTTGGTATTTCCAATATGGGACAAATGGTGAAAAATTTTTAAAAATTGCTATTTTTGCTAAATTTTCAAGTTATTTCTTGGTGAGCAAAAAAAGACTTTTACTCACTTAGGTATATAAATATATGCAATTGTCTAAATCAGTGATTGATAGTTTGGCATAAAAAATATTGATAATTTGCCGTCAATCTCTCAAGCGCATTCTTCTAATTGGCATTCTGATTTATTATACCATTTTTTACGCTATTGATTTGTATTGCCGCAGAAGTTACCATATACGTTATTAAAGTTTAATTTTATTCCTATAAAATTTGTAATCATGTTATTTTAATAAATACGATATAATAAAATATTTGTTTTTACTTTTACCACTGCGAAAATTTGCGTCGCTTGAACTAATCCTAACACTTCTTGACGAGCTTTTAGGATATGGAAGTAATGCAACATGAGGGTCAACCGAAACCAGCAAAAATGGTCTAGAGAAATCAAGTTTGGGAACCACTCGTCCAAACTAGCTCAAGTACAAATGAAGTATGGTAACCGAAAAAAAGATTTTTAGATAAGACCCTTTTTGGATGCTGAATGTCTGTTTAATGAAAAAAGCATACCAGAACTCTATTTAATTTTTCTCAAATATCTTAGTACACACACTGATGTTTCTATACTTATTTCATCAAGCACTCTAAAACCGAAAATATATCCCTCAAAATACTCTTGTACCCTTCATGTACCTGTGGATAAACTTTTTCATTAAAAAAAATATGGGAACAGCGGTTCCGCTATGAAAAAAAATTTCTAATATAGGATTCGTCAGAAAGAACGCATGTTTTTTTAAGTGAGTAGTACAGTCAAAATAAGTATGGGAAAAAATATTTTATTATATCAAAATACTCAGAAATAGGTACATGCCATTTTTTGGAGTTAAACAAAATGTACGGCCATATGGTGCCCTTGAGCCGAAATGCTGGAATCAAGCCTCTCCCGAAATGAGCCCATGGCGTCGGCCAGAATCCGTGCAGGAATTTAGGTTACCTCCCTTCTTATTTCCTCCTTCAAATCGACGAGGGTCCGAGGCTTGCTTTGGTAAACTTTTGATTTCAGGTAGACCCATAAAAAAAATCAGACAGTTGCGGGGAGCGAGGGGGCATGGAATATCGCCATGACGTGAAATGAGACGTCCTGGGAATTTTTGCCGAATAAGTTCCATCGAAGTGCGAGCTGTGTGAGATGTTGCCCAGTCTTGTTAGAACGACACTGTTCTGAGACGGACACGTCGACGTCAAAGTTCCGGAAAAAAAGTTGTTCAGCATGTGGACGTAACCCTCTAAATTCACAGTAGTTCTTTCTGCATCTTTGGATTTTGTATGGATGGAACACTAAATCCTTCTTCAAGATGCGACGTACAGAGGACGCATGGATCCCTAGGGGACTGGCACGCAAACGGACGGAACAATTCGGTCTTTGCAGCGTGTCAACTCTCACTCTGTCTACCTTTTCGGGGGTTCTAACTGTACGGTTTAGCCGTGGCCGTTTTTTCTTGATCACATTACCTGGTGTGTTGAATGCTTCCATCCATCTCAAAATGGTGTAACGGTCTGGTACGGTCGCACGACGTGGAACACGGAAGTGAACGTGAAACTCACGTTGCGTTCGAAAGACAGACTCGCCATTTTGGAAGAACCGACAGTGAACACATGATGCTCAACATTCCAAACCATCTTGCCAACTGAAACGGCACTGCTCCCACTATCCAACACGCTCTTCTCCACCGACACGGGATCACCCCACTCGATGCAGTACCCATTCGAAAAACATGCCTTCTTTCTGACGGACCCTGCACTTACACCTAACCCCGATACGTTAAATATGCAAAATATCAATGAATTTGTTGGTATCGATTGTCATCATATTACCTTGATCATCACTTAAAGCCATCTCCAAATTCTACACGTTTAAAAATAAACTTTCTTGCTCTCTGCAATTTTGACATACAAATCAAGGGGTTGCCTTACAAATACAATTTGAAAATAACATTAGATCTAATCTTTACACTTCTTGACGAGCGTTTAGGATATGGTAGGCATGTAACTGCAAAATTTTTAATTTTAAATTGGGAACATCTGGTCGACAGTAGCTCAAGCACAAATGAGGTATGTTGATTGCAAAAAAGATTTTGAGATAAGAGAGCTTTCCTGGATCCCGGATGATGTATGTTTAATGAAAAACGCATATTCCTTCCAAAACTTCTTTTAATTTATCTCAAATATTTCGGAAGTTTCTACTTTTTCTTAGTAAACGATTAATGTTTAGGTATATGCTTATTTCATGAAGCAACTTAAAACCCAAAATATATCCCTGAAAATGCTCTTCAAAGTACCTAGATAGTGGATAAATCAATTTTTCAATAAAAAAGAAATGGATCCATCGGTTACGCTATCAAAAAACGTGTCTTTTAATATCTATGCCGAGCCCCGATACGTAAAATGTGCAAAATATCATTCAAGGTATCGATCAACGGTATCAATGATCATCATATAATTTATCAGCATTAAGTTGAGTACTTCCGGTTGCACCGGAAATTAATACCAATACTTGCTTATTTTAAATGGGATGGTCTGTATATTCCATCCAAGATTATAGACACATTCCATGCTTATCATTCTATAATTAAATCCAACCGTTTTTGGAACATCTTAAATTTTGTGTACAAAATCAAAAATGCATGCTGACTAATAATAGCTTCTCCTGTATTTGTATCTTTGCAATACGATTTGTAATGGTTTTCATATAGGACCTTTCTTTAGGGGACTAAACGATAATCAAGTAAAAAAAGGTATGAAGATTAAGTCCTTTAAAACCCCATTAGTCAATGTTTTCAAATGGGAACCTCCGGATCGTAAGAGCCAATAAAAATGATGATAGTTTTGTATAAGACTGTTTACTTCTCAAATTAGTAGTTTCCAAGATGATCCGTTTTTCCATTTAAACAAATGCTCATCCCATTTTTTGTCCACTCTGTATTATTATTCACCTAAACGTCAAATACTTACAGCTAGAATAAGTTTCGTCCTATAAAACAACCATTACCAATCTAATCGCAAATATACAAATACAGGAAACATTTATGCAGGGCCGTAGCCAGACCTGCGTTGGTACCAGGGCATTACTAATTATTGTCAGGGCGACATTTTATTTGAAACTCGAATTATTATACATCAAGTACCTATCAAGTATTTGTATTTCTGGAAAAAACAGCGTATATTTATCCTGTCTACTCGTGAAACGTAACTTCGTTGCACGTTATATGACCACCAGTATTTCTCATAAAATGTGCATTACTAATGTCAACAATATCTAATAGTGTAATAAAAAATCACTATTTATTTTATCTGTTTTCATTATTATTATTAAATTCATCAAAAAAACTACCAATACAGTGAACCCGAAAAAATATTACAGCTAAACACAAACTTTTAAATATACCCTGATTTGAATGTTTAAAATACAACTATGAAATTTTCGAAGAAACTAATCTAGGTCTAGTACAGCGGCTCTTCTTCATTCAACTGCTAAACAGGAAAGGTCAAAGCTGTCAACGAAGAAAAAGAAGATTCACAAAGTGCCGTGCTGCAACCGAAAGTAGCAACTGTTGCAAAGAGCTGATACGTTGCCCTAAAAGCTTCCATATGTTTTGTAAAGTTTAGAGAATATACTTTCTTTTTGTTTCATGGTGGCAAAATCTTTAACAACCGACAACTCTTCAATAGATGGTAGCTCGATACATATAACAATAATAATAGTCATAGTTATATAATTTTGGGTGATTTAAAATGACCTCTTACCACGTTTTTTTAGAGGTTGAAGTTTTATCAAATCAAATTATTCAATGCTACTAATGGCCATCAATAGGTCGTCATTGTCCGAAAACCTTTCTTCCGACTGAAGAAGCGTTAGATCTATGGCCTCAAAATATAAACTTTTATATTGCAAACTACAGTCTTCGGTCTCTTCCTGGGTATTAGGTAGGGTTTCCATGACAAAAAAAGCATTTAGGCTTTGAGTACTCTGCCTTTTTCGTTTCTCAGCGTTACTTTTTAAGTCAGCATAAGGCACCAGATTTTGTGATTCATTTAAAATGTTTAAAAAATTTTCCGATGATCGCAGCAATTGAATTTTATTTTTGACACAAGTTATTATTTCGATAGCATCTTTGAAACATTTATCATGTTAATTTCAGAAACAATTTTGACTACAACTAAATGGAGCCTGTGGTTATAGCAATGAATGTGAGGGATACTTCTTTGAATCTCTTTTTGCATGAGGGCAGAAACTCTACCTTTTTTACCACTCATGACGCTTGATCCGTCATAGCACTGACTCAATAAACGTGAACGCTCAATTTCATATTTGTCCAAAATTTGAAGCGTCATACCTGTAAACGTCTTGGCATCCATTTTGTCACTCACGTAAATACCTAGTAAGGATTCATGAACGATCTCATATTTTACGTAACGAATACCTATGGACACATTTTCCCTGTTATTTTCATCTCTGGTTCCATCTTCTAACAATGTGAACCATGGAACATCAGATTTTTTAATATCGTCCACTAATATGCCAATAATTTCATTTTGTATCTTAGGAGAAGTACTATATACTTGACATTTTTAGGAATGTGTTTTATAGCCTCTTCAAGAACTTTGTCCTTTTTAAGGGTATAATTAAAAGGACTTATGAATAAACCTCGTTCGTTTTCTTCTTCCATAACATAGCTTCCTCGCAGCGCAAGTTCGTTGACTGCTAAGAACTGGATTACCTCAGCTATTGATTTTACATAGTACCTATATTTTTCAAGCAACTCGCTATTGATAAGTGTTGAGACTGCAGTGCCACTGGAGTCCCGATAGGATCGTTCCTTCCACATAACCATTGCTTTCAAATGAATGTCCGTTTTTTCATGTCGCGGGAATCCGTTTTTAGAATAAATTGCGTTTTTCCAATTTGTGAATCCCACATGAGTGTATATAATATCTTTATTACTAAACGGCTGAAATTGCCGACAAACATAACAAAAAGCTGCATCTTTTTGTACAGAATACTAAAGACATTTAAAAAATTTAAACCAACATGCTCGAAACACACGTCCGTTATTTTGTTCTGGATATTCTCTTAAAACAATTTGCTTTATGGGCTCACCTATTTTCGGTAGATCAAGATCAGTTACTTGGATATTCACGTCCTGTGCCTTTGAAAGGGTCGGCAAACTTTTTGCCTCGGCAAAGCAGCTAGGATTGTTACCAGTAGGGTAGTCTTCATCGTCTAATGGCCGTTTTTTAGTAAAAAAAATTCTTATATCCATTACAAGAAGTTTACCGTCAATAAAAACGCCTGAACTACATGCAATCAGACGATACACAATGCAATAAATCAGACCGCTAGTTATTCCCACAGTTTGGGTTTCGGGGAATCACCGGAACCGGCTTATTCTCGATTCGCGCCGCGCAATTGAGGCTGGAGTCGCCGGCGTCGGCCCCGTTGCAATGTTGCCGACTTGTAGGATAATTTCCTAAATTTTCTGTCAGGGCAAAATATTTGTCTGTCAGGGCGGCGCCCTGATCCGCCCTATTGTAGCTACAGCCCTGCATTTATGATTATATTATTTATATGCATGCATTTGTGAGTTCTTACACAAAATTTACGATATTTCAAAATATGGTTAGACTTTGGAATAGGATAATAGAAATGAAATTTTATAATCTTCTGCACAGCTTTTTCAATTGCTAGTTCAAACAATGATGAATTGCATAAATTTAAAGCCGTGTTAGTTGTCGTTACGAAATATTTATCTTTATTCTTTAATTCTTTCACTCGGATAGATAGAAATATAACATCTACGATATGTAATACCTATATACTCGTAGTGTTATTATCGTAATATGTTGTCATCTCATGTTGCGATAATAAAGTTGTCTTTAAAAATTATACAATACTTAGAATTAATGCGAGATATGCGGCTTCATAAAAGCTCTGGTATATCATATTTAGATTCATTTGCTAAGCTTACAATGACAATATACGTTTTAAATCTGTCAGCAACTTCAAATCTTCCCGTTCTTGGATACTGAATGGTACAACTTTTTTCAAAAACCCTACCAGCCACTAAAGAATCAATTTTCGCTAGTCATCATAGTTTTGCTAATTATGAATAAAAAAGCCCGCCGTCAATTAAGCTTTCTCTGAAAATGATCGTTTTTCAGCTGAGAAAATAAGTAAAAGAAGAAATTGAAGCCTCCAAGTGCCTAAATTAATGTTCGTTTATTCGTATGAGATGCGGATGATATCCGCAATGAAAAGGTTGATTGATCGAAAACGTTGAATTTAGACTATTTTTCAAGTAAGCGACATGTCCCTAGGGCTCCGTGCAAAGGCGATTATGAAAAATATGTAATGAACGGGTCGTTCTTTCAACAAGGCTGATTTCGCTTTGTCTAATGATCGTATAAGCAGCAATGGAAAAACAATTATCCCCCATCCCGTCTGGTCAAAAAAAAACCACATGTATTTGAAATGTTTCTTCAATGTAAACATTTCAGTCACAAATGTGATCTTCTTCACTAGGTACAATGACATATATTTGATTTTTCTGTTTTCCAGGTGTCAGCTCATTTGTTTTGTCTTTTCATTATCACATTCTAACACAGAGAATTACTACAATTGTTTGAAAGTCCCGTAAGATCATTTTAGTCGAAGATTGCCTACCATTTAACCGGAGTGTTGCGACAACAGTTCTGGTTGGGTTTTTCGCGTTTTTTTTTTTTTGAGGGTTTTTGGTGTTTTCGTGTCACTTGCAAGACAGAAAAATCAAATAAATGTTTCATTTTCATCAAGATGACTTTAATGAAGAATTTCAAATACATGTAGTTTTTATTGACTAGAAAAACATAGGGGATTATTTACATGTAAACCAAAGAATAAGTTTCAGATGTAACATAACAATGAGCCCAAATTTTGCGTCAGAATACTTGGCCACAGAAAATTATTTTCATTTATGTTTTTGCGCTCTGAGAATATCTATTATTTTTCAATCTCCAAAGCGATATCAGTTTTAGAGAAACCTTATTGGAGATCTTGTTTGTTCAGCGGAATCATCTAACAAATTCATCGTAGTGAAACACTGATATAATTAAGTCGAACCACTATTCACATGGGCGACATTTTCGTCGTTAGTACAGCCGCAGTTCTCACCTATCTATTCAGGTTGAGCACAAATGATAATAATGATAATGATTTGTGCTGGAACTGCAAAATGTTTCTCCGAAAACATCACATTCGCGTCATTATTGTAGAATCATCAAAATGCATAGTGCTGTTCAAGAAAAGAACCTGAGACGTACATTGGGATCCACTGTAGTACATTTTTTTTTTAGAAATTTGTCACATTATTTTGTGTGCTTAAACTCAACATAATCTGAAATACCGTCCACACAGTTAAAGAACAACCTACATTTGGAGTGAATTTTTAGTATATCTCTACAGGGTGATTTGCAACTACTTGGTAGTACAAGCAAATATTGTAAATGGAACTGATATTACTATCATCTGTCAATCTGAATTCTTTGTACCTTAGTTGTTTCAAAGATAGAAACAGGGTGTCCTACCCTGTTCTCATTGCTTAGTTTAACATTGATATTGATATCACATTTATTTGATACCTTGAGTCTTGGATAATAAATGTTTTTATAATGTAGGTATATGATTATGGAATTTAATAAAACAGTAATTCTCATAGCAAAATGTGATGAAAAACCAGTTGGTGAGAAAAAAGTACATACGTTGGAAGGTCCTCACAAAAATCCGTGTAGTCTGTGAAAAAGACATGTTGAAATACGTAACACTACAGAAATACTGATTAATGTTTCCAGTACACTGAAATTATTCCGATTCAAACAAACAAGATACGCGATAAATAGCCGTCGACGATTATAGTGATTATTGTATTTTAATTTAGAAGTTTAGGTTTTAGCTGATTTTGAAACACGTTTGGTTGCCTATCATTTCCATTCACTATAACTTGTGAAAGCGAAGCAAGCGTAGGTCTAAGGTCATTAACATGGAAATGTTTATCGATTTCATTCTGCGTAGATCGATGATTTCCAAGCAGCTTACTAATCTATAAACGTCAGTGTTATAAAGAAAAAATAATATGTAAGGAATCAATTCATTTAGAACACAAAAAAATTAGTTGGCAGTTTTCCATAAAAATGTCGTGGGCTACTCGCAGAGAATGATGATCAGCTTTAGAATCAAAATAAAAACATTTCTAACTTGTATTGCTGAGATTAGGCTAATTCACCCATGGAAGGCAATAAATTAATCGAATAGTGTCAACTATAGGAAAAAAATAAATCTGATTTTAGCCTGGAAAATAGTTGTTTCACCGATGGAAATTATGGATATATTTTTTATTGCTTCATAACTAGAGTTTCCAATAAGGACGGTTCAGTATTGATATGGGATGAAACAAATTGTATATAAGGTATCAACACTTTTTTATTTGAAAGGTTCATGAATGTTAAAGACCCCGCGGAAACCTCATGGTGACTGCGGTTCATCACCTCACAGCACAGTATTCTACCAGAAGTAGGTTCCAAATATAAAGCCTCTACATAAGAAGTACTTTTATGTTGGCATGTTAACTGTTTTATACGCTCAATCCTCTTTGCTTTGAAATAGATACATTGGTCTGGTTTCTCAATTTCTCTGAGCTTAAAATTATTTTTCTAGGATTTCGAATTAGATTAGAGTCGCTAGTACTAGATTGTGAAGTAGCCCGTTTCTAAAGTAGGATTTTATTTTCTCTTGCATCTTGAGCTTCAACTCAGTTAATAAAAATATTACGCATGCACTATACAGGGTGACTTTGAAGTTGAGTCATTAATTTTCAGATAATGATTGTAGAAGGAAGATAAACCAAAATATGTGTGTAAAAATAAAAAAAAATAAAAAAAAAATTTACCTTGTTTTATAAAGTATCCTCCCGACAAGTATTTCAGGGCGGACCTGTATTTGATCGTGAGGTCTTGAAGCACCGGCATGCTCTCCCCTGTGAGGTCTTAAGTCACCTGATTCACGAGCCCGTTGTACTACATTAACAAAGGCACGAGGGGTTGGTTGCACTCGATTGGGAAACCGATCCGCATAAACATGTGCCATTTTTTATTTCGTTTGAGCCACGCAGCAAACACCACTATTCACTCACGCGTTACCGACTGACACATTGACTGAATAAAAACATCGTGATCAGCGTTTCAAATTCTTTCACTTTTTTGTTTCCGATGCGATGAACCGATAAGGCGGATTATATCCGTTGTTTCCAAACACGAGCACATAATATTATTATTGAGACAGGGCGGTACTCAAACTTCTAAAGGGCTATAACTTTGTTACTTTGATTTTACCACAAAAATGTTAAAGGAAAAAACATTTCTTTTGATCAGATCTACTCACTGTTAAAATAAATGACTCAACTTCGAAGTCACCCTGTACATGCACCTCATGGAGAATGGCTTTCGGCTAGTTTTCTTGCGCGGCCGTTTCATTACCCGACTGCCTTAGGAGGGTTATGTTTTTCGCGCGTGGGTATGTATATGTGTGAAAAAATCTATATCACGGGCGACAATCCAACCGGCTTGATGGATTTGGACATAAGAGCTGTTAGCGGATTCGTCTTAGCAGTGCGAGTGACACTGGGTATGTTAATGTTTTATAAAATCAAAATGGCTGACGTAAATAGAAAATTTAGATTTTCAAACTTCTCTTTCACGAGATAAAACTTAAACGACTTGACAGATTTTGACATTCGATGAGTCTCTAGATTTTCCTTGTCGGTTGACACTGGGGTATTTGAAAAAGTCAAAACGGCTGACTTTAAATGGAAACTCCAGCTTTGAAATTTCTATTTCGCGGGCTACAGCCCAAACGGCCTATTGGATTTTGACGTTTGAGGTGTCCTTAGATTCGTCCTGCTTCTTCTTCGTCCTTTTCAATTATTGCAGTCGTTTTCTTTTGCTTTTTTAATACTTGTTTTAAATTGCTTATAACAAAAGTGTGTGGGACCAACGTTTTTCCGCGAGTAGTTGGATATTCCAGCGTATTGTGGGTTCGGTGCACGATATTCTAAAGGCGCGTAAAGACCGAGATTCCAACACAAGCCAAGGCACATGTGGTATGTGGTTACAGATTTGGAGGTGTTCGAATCGGTGTGTAACTGTGTACGGCGCGAGCCGACATAGCCAATGGTTTCCAAGGTAGCGTTGGCGTTATGGCGTTTGCTCCTTGATCGGTACATCAAAGGGAGGTTTGATTTGGTCTGGACAGGATTAGTCGTTTGACTGCATTCGATGAGACGATAATCGTCTGCAACTCTCTGCCTTTTTGGGAACCAAGTTTAATAGTTGCTTGGTATCAGACTACGGTCGGATACTGAAATCCGGTATAAGAATGCGAATCCTGAATACTGTACTTTGAATTGTATTCGGACACTGAAGATTCGAATACAAAGAAAAAATATAGGAATAGAAAAAATACCGCTGTTTTGAATACCTGCATTCATTTGAATGTTCATACTTTTTTAATATTTCAACTGAAAAAACATGCGCACTTTAAACACATTTTTATTTGCGTGCTTAACACGTTCGCTGCCAGACATATTTTTGAACATGTATCCACCATGCCAAACATATATTTTACATTGTGCACTAGTGGGCCATCATATAAAAAAGACGTAGGTCCCATCGGGGCCACATTCCTCATTGTGGAAAAATCTAAGAAATTATAGAAGCGTATAGCTTCTAGTCCATGTTGGTCCATTTCTGCAGGCGTACATAGGTAAATGAGCGCCAACGGCCTAGCAGCTGTTAGAAAATGCGTTGACCCCATGGGACCAACATAGCCTAGTAAGGCAAAATACAGAGTGGTCCATCCATGTGTGTACGGAATATTACTCATGAACAAATACATTTTGAGAAAATCTATTAATGGTATGCGATACATAACATTTGAGGGCATATTTATAAAATATTGGTCATTATACAGGGTGTCCCAATTTCGACCTATATATCAAAGTTGTGATTTTTTAAATGGAATGCCTCAAATTTTATTCCATATTTGGATAAACCAATTCAAAAGAAGAAAATTGATATAACATACTATTGTGTTTTGGTAATTAGCTACTGAGATATAAGGTGTTTTGTCTAGAAAAACCACCCACTTCGGCAACCCCTCATTCCGCCATTTTGAAATTTGGAGTGCTGAATTTTGTTAAAAAAAAACTTCATACCTCAGTTTTTGTCTTATCTGCTACTTTTTCGAATTTTCATTTTTGCTCATAAAACGCGAATTGTACTTTTTCCCAAAAATTTCAAATGTATCACCCTGTATATTTGTGCAAGTTTGGATTCTCTTTTCTATAAGCTTTTTTTGATACTAGACACATAATGGTTTTTACATCCATTTTTTCGGTTATTAGCACGTCTTTTATGGAACGGCTTAATTCCCTAAAATATCGCATCATCCTTGGAAACAAATAAATTTTTGATCAGTTACAAACTGTGAAAATTAACTTTGAGAGCATTATAATGAAAACGTGTTTGAAAATGAATTTTTCTAAATAAGAAATAGTGAATATGATGCTCGTTTCGGGCGAAGCCCAAAGAAATAGTTTCCTAGCATCTCGCATTTATATGCGACATCCAAGGCCGGAAACATTTTCCACACTGCGAGAACATTTTGAATCAAATGGAGCAGTGGAATATAGTAAAAAATTTATAAATAATCCAAGTGTAACCAATGAGGCGAGTCAGTTGGAGGTTCTATTAAGGTTGCAGGAAAATCCCCATTTAAGTGCACTGCAAAATGGAGCAGAAACTGATATATGCAGAACTTCTGTCCAAAGGATTATTCACAAGCATAGGTACTATCCATACCAGCTATGTTTGCATCAAGGCCTTCATCCTCAGGATTTCGCAGCTCGAATGGAGTTTAGTAGAATAATGCTAAATAAAGTGAGTGAAGACACTACTTTCCTGGATAAGGTTCTTTTTAGCGATGGCAACTTTTAACAGCATAGGTGTTATCAACAGGCATAACATGCACTATTATGCGACGGAAAACCCTTGCTGGGTTAGGCAAACAGATTTCCAAAATAAATGGAGCTTGAATGTTTGGGGAGGGGTTATTGGCAGACAAGTTATCGGGCCTTTCTTCTTTGACAACATATTAACAGGTACAGAATACTTGATTTTTTTGATCGAGCATTTGCCTTTACTTTTGGAGGATGTCAACCTGTAAACTCGGATGCATATGTACTTCCAACATGACGGCGCATCTGCGCATTATCATAATCGTGTGCGTAACTATTTGGACACCTGGAGTAACAATCGTTGGATCGGTCGTGATGGGCCTATATCTTGGCCTCCTAGATCACCAGATTTGACACCGATGGACTTCTTTCTAAGGGGCTACGTTAAGCAAGAGGTTTATAGATATCCACCATCTCCCTCGGAAAATATGAAGGAAAGGATTAAGGATGCTTTTCTGAACATAAGGGAACACATGGTGAGTGATGTACAACGGTCATTTATCCAAAGACTGTGTATTCAACATGGTGGAGATATTTTCGAGCAGTTTTTGTAGATTAGGTCTTGAGTAGTGATAGTTGTTTGTTTATGTTGTTGTTATAGTTGTTCTATTAGAAAGATTAATAACTCAAAATCTAGTGATTTTATCTGAATCAAACCTTACACCAAAAAAAAGCTTATAAAAACTTGAATCCAAACTTGCACAAATATACTTTAGGGCGAACCTATTCTGAAATTGCACTTGGACCTCTATCATAAATAGGTGAGGCTGCAAGACGTAAATTTGGTTTTCTGTAATAACAATTAAGCTTTATTGTTTGCAGTGTATGACATTTGTATGCTGTCAAATAGTACTCTAGTTAGTATTCTAATTAAGAAATATAATGAAGGTATCCCGAAATCACATCAGCTTTTTGAATTTCCGACAGCTTTTAGGGGTATGTGCCCCAAAGTGCGTCGTAAAGTTTAGCCGTAACATATATACATAGGCCTTTTAAATAATAAAGAATTT